GAGCTTTATAAATTAGAGAGTCTTTGTTGAATCCACTGCTATCATGAGATTTCTTCTCCTTTGACAAGCAAAACAGGCAACAATGTGCTTGTTTAAAAGTTCTTTGCCGTTTCTGAGTTAAGACATACAAGACAGAAGGGAGGACTTCTATAATGTTGTTCTGAGCCCTTTAGATTTACAGAAATATCACTACATGTTGTGCATTGACTGCAGTTTCTCTTTGGCCACATGCACACCCTCACCTTTACCTGTACAAGTATGCAATTATGATGAAGCGTTTCCACCCGGCAGAGAATACAAGCCACTATGGCACTACTATGCTGCTGCTAGTCTGTTGAGGAGAAGCGAAGACATCATTTTGCTGTGTGTCATTTCTTTGTTGTGCCACTCTGCTCACCAGTGTCCTTGTCCATTTGGCAGGTACATGGAATTCTTTCCAATCCCCTCCAATGCCAGCACAGACTTCATGTTTGAGAAGAGTGCCAATTATTTTGACACAGAGGTAGTACCAAAACGTGGTGCAGCCCTGCTTCCTCGTGCCAAAATCATTAGTGTTCTGATCAACCCTGCAGACCGAGCCTACTCATGGTATCAGGTAACTTTCCTGAACTGTTTTGTGGATGAGCACGTGAGAAATATTCCAGTAGGGTGAGGCAAAAAGCCTGGGGACAGAAAGCCACAGATCCACTTGCGTAGGGAAACAAGGGAAAATGATGCAAGCTGGAAAGCGTGGACAGTTATGTACAAAGGCAGTGGTGGCTGTTTGTATTGAATCAGTGGGGTCTGCCGAGAGATGGCATGGGGAGGGAGGGAGGGAGGAATTTTATTTTCCTCCTCCTTAATTCAGCTTATGTTTTTCAGCACCAGCGAGCTCACAATGACCCTGTGGCACTCAATTACACCTTTTACCAAGTGATCTCTGCAAAATCCCAGGCCCCTCAGGAGCTGCGGAACCTGCAAAGCCGATGCCTGCTCCCTGGCTGGTATTCCACTCACCTAGAGCGCTGGCTAACATACTTCCCTTCTGGGCAGGTAGGAGGTGTAGCTGCACAGTGAAATAGATTAATAATGCTTTGACAGTGCTGACTTTGAAAGAGATCATGCAAAATTTCTGGGTGTAGGGGATGAACACTGCTGTCTGGCCTGAAACTAAGATGACAAAGCAGGAACTGGTCTCAAGGAGTCCCTTCTAGTTTTAGTGTAGAGGAGCAGAGAGCAAATCTCTGTCTCTTCTTCCCCTGCTCCTTCTCTTTTCCCAGATCCCTTCCCCTCTGTCCCTTTATATATTTTCGTTTCACCCTTTCTCTTATCTTTTGGAACAGGAACCACAATTTACTTTTCCTACTGCAAGCCAATAAGAAATCATGCTTAAATACTTCAGTTTTGCACTTTACTGTATTTGTAAATGTAAATGACTACAAGATGATGCTGTGATCTCTCAGATAGCTCCACAGGCTTGAGAGGTTCAGGAAGAACAGCAGTATCAGCGCTCCCTTCCTTTCATCTTGACAGCCTGCAGCCCTGGAATCCCCTACAGGCCCAGCTGGTGCTCATCCACTTGCTGTGGTTTCATAGCTTTAAAGAGAAGCTCTTAGACTCTGCCAGTTGTTAGCTTCTGTGTTGTGAAGTCTTTAACTGCCTGCAGAGGTTTAACTTTGCAAAAGGTCAGTTAATATACACTGCAGACCACTTCTGTCTCAGAATTTCCAAGACATTTATAAACTAAGACGTTATGAGCCAGAAAATATTTTTTTCAATTTCTTTCTGATACTGCAGTTATCCTCAGACAGTCTATATTCCAGCAGTCTTACAATGCCCATTAGTCTCTTGAGATTGCTGCTTTGGCAGTCAGTAACTGTACATGATAGATCTGCCAAGACTAAAATTAGAGAGAAGGGAAAATAAATCAGAGACCTATATCTCTGTTACTGTCAGAGTAAGACTACAGCAATTCAGCTATTTGTCATGGAATAATTAGCAGAAACAGTAAATGATTGGTGCCACATTGCGAGGAGAAGTTGTGGTGAGTAGATCCTTCAAGACAGCACGATGTGTAGCCAGAAGCTATTGTATTAATCCTGCAACCTGTGTCATCTTTGCATGAAAATTAAGAATTAAATCAATAGCTCAGCCTGCCTCTTTCATAAAACTAATGCAGGAGCTGATTACTGTGTTCCTCCATGATTGTGGAGCTGGAGTAGACATAAAATATACCATCACATTCCTGGGCTTCGATCTCATTGCCTTACTGTTCCTGGAGATCACTGATGTGAGGAATAATAGAGCCAGGGACACCAATTGGATGGTCACTTTAAAAAAGGGAAAGAAAATTGCATTGCATGGCCACTCTTCGTAGTGTTAGTTTTGCATTGGCACACCATTTCTATACTTGCTAAGGGTCACGGTCTGCTATATTCCCCAGAGTTCAGTGCATGACTATTTTTCTTTTGAATAGTTGATACATCAGCAAAGTACTGTTCTTTATTGTCTATTATATGTATGTGCAATAGGAGAATAATCTTAAGTTACGAAAGAATTCTTAACATAACAACTGACATCTGAAAAAAGGATACACAAGACAATCTGTAATTAATGCTATTGCTGGACCTGAATACTGGCTTACAGGGAAGACTGGCCAAAGCCAAGTTCTGAGACAAACTCTGTTGGCATTTACTGTCCTGGAGTACTTGTGGCCCTTATCGTAACTTCTCTGTCTGCTACATCCTCCTCTATTGTGTGGTTCAGGAATAAGCAGACACCAGTAACCTACACTCACGTGAATGAAGGCAGTGGACAGTTGTGAGGACTGGAAAGTTCAGCACAAGCTGTCGGAGGCTAAGGGGGCTGCTATTATTTCATTTCAGATTCTCATTGTGGATGGTCAGGAGCTGAGACACAACCCTGCCTCTGTAATGGACAACATCCAGAAGTTCTTGGGAGTTACACCACTCTTCAACTACACTCAGGCCCTGAGGTAAGGAAGTCATTTTTGGAGAAGCTACTTTCTTAGCCAAGTGTGATACAATAAGCGTTTGATTGGAACAATATATCTCATCTCTGACCACAAGGTCTGCAAAGGTTCCAGAGGTATGTCTAAATGTTAAAATTAATTTCGGGTGGCTGTGTCTGGATGGCATGAGACACTAGATTGGACTCATAACTTAGTCCAACAACAAAATAAAGGGGGAAGGGCTGTTTTTTGGCACTGGCATGGAGAGGCATGAAGTTGCTCACAGCAGTAATTACAGTGTTTTTCATTTGGTCTTTGTGGTTTCAGAAAAGGTGCTGAAGCTATTAGAGCTCCTTATGCTTTGTGTTTGTTACACCTTGAATCTGGCAGAAAGCAAAGAATTTGGGATAAAAATGAATGAGAGGCTGCTCTTCACCTTGATGGAGATTAGGGACACAGCACAGAGTTTTGAGATAAAGAGGAGTCTGTTATTACAGAAGATGAGGACTTGACAGCCGAGTCCTGAGGAACTGTTAGCAGAGGCAGTGCCTCATTGCTACCAAGTTGAAGAACATTAGTCAGCCATGACTACAATGTTCTCCACAGTGCAGTGTGAATAGATTAAGTAAGTAAGTGCTAGCTGAAGGTGAACAGAGTTGGTATCAGTCTTCAGTGGCAAGCCCACTGGAAATCTGGAATGTTGTTCTTTGCTGCTGAAACCCGGCTTTTCACACTTTTCACACCTTCTTTGCCAGATCAGCCTATGCTAGCTGAGGGTAATAGGTGTGTCTGTGTATGTGTGTAGGCACACTGCCATTGCTCTTCCTTTAACAGTAAGGATAGGAGTACCAATTTAGGCCTCCTCCTTCTCCTCCAGGTGTTTTCCAAAGGAGTGGCACATGGCTGCCCCAGGGTGTGCAGATCTAAAGAAATGTAAGATTTCTCGGAAGCCTTACTTGCAGCAGGCCATCACAATCAAATTCTAAAAACAGCAAAAACAAAAAAGCAACCTGAATTGCTCAGATTAAAAAAAAAAAACTGTGATAATAAATTAAGGATTGAACTGGGAAATACCTGTGGAGCTATAAAGTTTCTGCATCTACTAATTGGGTATGTGGCCATATCTTCTAAATATCAGTGTCCTTTTCAGATTTGATGAAGCAAAAGGATTTTGGTGCCAGCTGTTAGACGGAGGAAAGACAAAATGCTTGGGAAAGAGTAAAGGAAGAAAATACCCTGACATGGATTCCTCGGTGAGTAACTCTGTCAAATTTGTTAGCAGCGGCAGATGAGCTGTATACACATGGAACACAATGAGCATACCCACCTGGATTTTTCTACTGCTGCTGATAGGAAATGACCTGAAGACCAGTGACAGAAACATGGTACAGGGAACATTTTCTTTCACGCTAATATAGTCTGTCTTTTCCATGCAGTCACGGCTGTTCCTAAGAGACTTCTACCGGGAGCACAACATTGAATTATCCAAGCTGATGAACAGACTTGGACAGCCCCTTCCAACCTGGCTGCGAGAGGAACTGCAGAACTCCAGCTGGAGTTGAGAGGGACTTGCCTGTTCCCAGTGCCACTGGGATGTGTGGTGCTCCAACGTGTGCTATGATGCCATCTCTCGTCAAGCCAAAACAAGTGGACAATTGAGCAGTAGCAGAGAATGTGCATGTGGAGCCTTTCCCCACCATTGGGAAGGGCTGCTGCTTCTGACACTGTCCTAGGGCATGGAGTGCAAATCTCATTCTGGAGTATTAATGGTGCGTCACACTTTGACTTTTACTTGCAGGAAGGATTTGTAATGCCTGTCCTACTTGGAGCAGGACAAGAGCACGGTTAACACTTTATGTTTAAGTTACTCTTTTCAGTATATGAAACAGGCACTAATCGGAGGGTTAATGTCTTTCACCTCTGAGTCCAGAGAAAAATATGTGAGAGGTAAGATACAGAGCCCACGGATGAGAAAAGAGGAACAGCTTAAGAAAAGGGGAATCTACTCCAGTGAACCTCAGCTTTTATCCAGTAATCTCTTATTTGGCAACAGCAAGGTACAAGAACACCTCTTTCCCCCCCTATAGAGTACAGTGGCCACGACCATTACTTACAGTGCCACGGTGTGTGCGTGTGCTGGGGACTGCACCATCTTGGAGACAGATGTAACAGGCAAAAGATTGCATGTCCTTATCTGCAATCCTGCTGGTGCAATATGGTGTGCAATGGCTCTGGTCCAGGGGCAGTGGGAGATAAGGCAAAGCTGCAGACATTGACACCAAATTAATTTCTTATCTTAGGGAAAAGGTTGCCATACACAGCAGCGTGGCAAGTATTTCTCTTAGGGGCTTCAGCCATTTCAGAAGATACCCAAGGAATGATGAGTCAGTCCCCTTGAGCACTTTGGAGGTCTGTGTTAGCAAGCACAGTAGCTGGGGAAGGCAAAGCTCAGGTACTGGTAAATAAGGCTGAAAGCAGACAGTTCAGTTCCCCCTGTCTGATTAACTTTAAAAAAAAAAGCAACATTTTTTGCCTATCCAACAGCTGCAGGGCATCTACCATGTATGATAATACCTGTTTAATCCCCCTGCAGTCCAGCATCCCCCTGCAAGGAGAAATAAAAAACTCAACCCACAGTAAGTACCACTAAGATACAGGGAGGGCTTAGCATTTTAAGCAAAAATGTGGTTTCCTGTATCTAAAAGGGGCTGTTTGTTTAGATTGCTATTTCTGCACATAGTCAATAATTTAGTACACTACGGTGCTGTGCCTCCTCTTGCAGTTTGTTGGATAATTTTTCTCAGAGGAAATCCTCCATTATGGTTGTACATGTTTTCTGTTGCTGAGCCATGGGCTTCTGAATTTGTGTGGGCTGTTGTCCCTCCCTCCTGGGCACAGATGGACCTGTCTTGCTGCAGTTCCAGAGAGGGACAGGATCCATGTGAACACAGGTTATGGAAATTTCCACAACTGTCACAAGCTCCTTTTCACCTACCAGAGGAGAAAAGTTGCTTCAACCAAGCTTTTCCATTGAGCCTTAGGTATTGTGTATTTCTGATTGAATGGTGCATTTACCGTTGTATGTAAATGTATATAGTATGCAATATAGTATTTTATTTCATGTGCCCTTGGAAAGGGTTATTTTGTGCAGCCAAAAAAAAAGGACAAAGACTAGAAACCCCTCTCTCAGTCCTGTTAGAGAGAAGAGCCCAACTTCCTGCACTGGATCATGTATAGCATCATTCACATTGAATGATAATGAAGAAATTCCTGGCTCTCAAAACTGAGCACAAGTGTCTGAATAAAGGCTAGAAGTAGTAGTAAGTGGATTCAATAAATGTACTACTTATTTTTCTTCCTTGTGATGATTTGGAGTGATGTCGTGGAGCGTAAGCTGGTAGAAAGATTAAAAAAAAAAAACCCTGGAAAACATTTTCCAGTTCTTACAGCTGATATTTACAGCTGATATTTGAGAGGGCAACAGAAGTGTTTGCTTTAATTATAATTGAAATATCCTTTCGCAGCTGTAACAGTGTAGTAAAAATGTCTTTCTTGGTATGCGCAACTGGAGGCTCACAGAAGCCAGTACAGCAGAGAACCTGTGGTCAGATACTCACCCTTATTGGTTTGCACTAGTAATGAATTTTGAGCTATTTCCAGCTACTGCAGTAACTCCCAGCTGCTATGCTGCAGCAACAGAGCTTTGCTCTGTCTTTGCTGTCCAGATGTGCAGCCATTGCATGGCCTTGGCCAGCAGCCCGTGAGTAATCTGTGATAACACAGAACCTTACATTCAAGACAGAGCAAAACATTATTTAAATAGTCACAGTTGTGGCAGAATTATAAAATAGCCTTTCATCTCTCACTTTACCAAGCACTTCAGAAACAAACATAGCATCAGCAAAACAGGTATTTTTACATACTACCACAGGAAGAACCAAGGACCAATGGTACTGCTGCCCCATTACACACAGAGCTCCCTTCCTTCTCTTAACTCATTACAGATTGTCTCTTACACATTTACTTCAGGGCTGTGGTAAATATTCAAGTAGATGGATTCAAACATTGGGAAAAAAAAGTCAAGATACTAGGAGCAAAGTTGGAAGGGGCTTACTAGAAGTCAGGGCTGTTAAGTGACAATAGTTCTTTAAACAAGGCAGCAAAGAGCAGCTCTGTGTTCTCCTTATTTGTCCTTCCATCCCCACTGATTTCTTTGTTGCTGTGCTGGTTTTTTACTGCTTACAGCAATGGAGAAACAAATCACCTGCTATGTCTAGATCTAAATGTAGAATGTCCTTACCTGATGTAGCCAGACACACTGATTACTTGATTCTGACACAGTCACTTACTTGCTGCTGACCCTTGCAGCTCATTTTGACAGTGGAACTGAGTTGCAAATACACTTTATCTTCTTGCCTCACTATTTAAGGAAGGACGTGACAGTAAGTAGTTAGCTTTCAAGACAAGGAAAATGTTAAGCATAAGACATTACCTGAAAATTGTTTTGTAATGTATTAATGTTTTCTTTTTTTGGCATAGGAAACTGAGTCATCAGAAAGGTATCAGAAGGGCCCGTGACTTTAATAGAAGCCAGATCAGGTCACTTCAGAAATGGAAGTGTGTATAGCAGGTGAGAACTGTGAAAACAAATGTTAAGAAACAAATAAAAAAATAAGTATAAGTAAAAAGCAAGTCAGCAGAGTATACACGCCAACCTTAACAAAGACAGGTCAGCAATACGAAGCCAAAACTTTTACTCACTCACAACCTCTGAAATTCAATCAATTAGAAAGATACTTACTGGTTGACCGCTTTCTAATCTGTACAGGGAATACAGGGAACTGATACGAACATGTACACAAGGATAGAAGATGTTTTAAAGGCTCTGGGAGAATTTCTCTGTAGGTAGCATCATAGATCAAGTCTACATAAAATCTGGTCCCTGAAAACTGCTTTTTTTTTTAATTGATGACAGGACTGCAAAAGCGTAGTCTTGGCAGAAGCATACAGATTGTAGAAGTCAGAAAGAAACACAGAGTGTGTTAAGAGTAGATTAATCTAATGAGCACCTTGATCAAATATACCACTACTACTGTTCTTCAGCAGTTTTACATATACAGTTGATAAGAGACTCCTTTCCTTCCTTGTGGATAATTTTGCTGTAGCAGTAGTAATATGGCAAGAAAACTAATGACAAACCAACCTGAACGTGAATGTGGTCACTACTTATCCCTTATGCTGACTCCTGACTTACAGTGTCCATCATGGAGTAAGCCACCAGGTGAGCGTGATCTAACAAGCACAAGCTAAGAAGAAAAGCTCCATTCACTCAGTAGGATATGGAGTAGTTGTTGTACCCCCCTCCAGTTATCAGGGCTTCAACTATTGTTTCTTTCTGTGCCCTTCTTTCCTTAATGCCTTCTGGAATTAAAACAAAAAAAACCAAACAAACAAAAAAGAAAAAACCCTCCACCCATAAACATTAAGAATGTAAATTTTACTCTCATCTTTGAAAAACACCTTACAATTTGTAGCAAAACCAACAATGTATCCCTGACACTTTAATCTCCAGTGCTGTGGTGAAATACGTAGAAATAATTTATTGATCTATTCAGTTTGTTTTTAGCTTTAAAGAGCATTTTCCTTCCAAGATTCAAATCCTCCTCATTGTCATCCATATCACTTTATTGACATCTCTGGTCTCTCCAAAATGCTTGCAAACCATATGTCTGTAATTCTGACACTGCATCAGCAGGCTGAAATCCAGCTCAAGTTTACTTTGCAGTAACAACAAAGGATCATAAATCAGACTGTTCTCAGAACCCTGCCAAGTCAAGTATTGGAAAAGGTGCACGTCAGGATTTATAGCAACGTGTTGACAGTAAGGCTTGCACAACTGCTGCCCATACAGCCCCAGCATTCCTAACAATTATGTACTCCCAGTTGACTTAAACAAGACAAACTAAAGTATGAAATAAGAGAAAGTTACGGAAGACCATTCCAACTCTGTGCAAATTACTATATATAATAGATTTTAATGCATTGCTAGCATTTCTCCCCCCAGTCCCTTAATAGTTCATCATGTCCTTAGTGGCAACAGAGTAATTGTGCAGTGCCGACTGTACAGCATTAAATAGTTACGCTATAACTGCAAACAGGCAACATCAACAAGAAAACAATTGCTTACAGAGCACAGACACTGTTGTTATACCAACAATTAACAATATACAGCAGTGGAGTTACCTTGTGACAGCTCACAAAGCTTGTATTTGGCAGTTAGCCCTGAGAAAAAGCTTTAACTCATGGTAGGCTCAAACTGAAACCCTAGCACAGAATATCCCCAGACTGCACTCGCAGTTCTCACAGAGTAATGATGCTCTTTGACAGGAGCTATTGCCCACCCTGCCCCCAAGCAAAATGTGAGCAGGAAGTAGAATGAAGATCAAAATCCACTTTTAAATTGTGCTGAGGAGTGAGAGGAGAGGTAGTAAACAAAAATGGTAATATTAAGAAAGACTCCCTGTTGTTATTTTACCATAATCACATCATATGAAGCTCTAATTAGGGCACAGAGGAAAACCAAAAAGATTCTAAATAAATTGTAATTGAGAGCAGTTCATTCTATCACTAGGGGTGGATTAAAAGCAAAGTCATACAACAGTTGTGGTCATAAAAAAAATATGTATATATTTTTATAGTTAAGTTCCACTACCTTAACCTGCATTTTTAATTTTTCAGTTTAGATTTAAAAAAAAAAAAAAGTCATCAATACTGTTGTAGTCATCGACACCTTTATGCTTTTGTGATATCTCCCCCAAGGGCACCCTGGAAACATCATTTTAACACTGTGCCATTTTCTCGATTCCTGGACAAGAAAAACAAACCAAGAAACAACCAAGTCTTACAGAAAACTACTTCACATTTATGTCACATTTCAGCTAACTTATTTATACAAGGATGTATTAAATTTCACAAAGACCTTGCTTACTCCATTTCTGCTCGTGCTGCTCTTGCTAAACTCTTCAATGCCCTCTAGCACTATGTGGCAGTGGCCAAGCCAGTTCTAAGCGTGCTAAGCTTGATTAAAAACCTAACTCCCACCACCAAAAAAATGCAAACAGTTTAGGTTCAGTGTGCCCCTACGAGGTGTTTCTCTCAGGGTTTTCTCAGAGAAGGAAAATACATATCCCAAATAAATACTAATGAGAGTAAACAAACATTAGAAAGAAACACACTTTTCAGCTAACTAACAGCCCTAGCTGTTGGGCACATTATTCATCAGATGACAATTCTGATCACTCAATGGCTGTAAAGATGCTAAAGTCCAAAGACAGATAATGTCCTTTTGTCTCATAGTCCTGGAAAGGACTTTCAAAAGGAAAACCTTCACAGGCAAGAAAAATGGTTGTAGGTGAATATGTCCTACGCATTTCCCTATGGAGGAAAAAAGTGAAGCAGGCCATCACAGAGGCTGATATGCCTGATTTTTACAGAAAAAGGCTCCATCTGTATCAAGAGGTGCGTTCCAAGCAATGACTAAAGCCTTTATTTTATCCACTGCTTAAGAGCTAAATCAAACCATTCCTCCCGATGACCCAAGCAGCCAAGAATGCAGATGTTATTTTGGTACATCTATCAACCTCACTAAAGTCAAGATACTACCACCTCTACAGACTGAGAAACTATGCAGGAATCAAAAGATTAAGTTTAGATACACTGCTGTCCTAAAAACAGCTTTATTTATAAGACCACATGTATACAAGTGGAAAAGATACTAAATGGCCATTAACTTCTTCAGGGAAGAAACGTATTTCCTGTGGTCACATGAGGAAATAATAAATGTAGCAAGTCAGAGAAAATCACTGTGAATACAAGACACATGAAGAAGTACAATCTATAGATCTGAGTACTTCCCCCATGTCTGGAACAGTGATCAAACTAAGACAACTGCACAGGATTTTAATTTTTCTAACTTACGGTAAACTAATGCTTCTTTGTTCACCATCATCTCTTACAAAAGAAAGATTACCTCAAGCAACTTCCAGGCACATAGCAGGAAAAAACATACCCTTTCTCACTCTTCCTATCCTTGTTCACATACATTTCCATGGCTCAGGAACGACAAAAGATTAATAGATCCAGGATAAAGAAATGTTCTGATAGGTCTGAATAAATGATAAGGCAAACCCTCCACACAGCTCCCTGAGTGCTCTAGTTTTCAGAGAGAAGACTGGAAACTTGCAAAAACTACTGACCTGTGCCTCAGACCACTGAGCTGCTTGTTCAGTTGATGTCAGTCTGAGATGAGATTCCCTGGTTCTTCCTCTGATTGGGCCCCACAGCAGCTGGAAGACAACTCTTACAGGGGTCTGTTCTGGTATTGAAAACATTCAGCTTTCTTGCCCATTTCCTTCTGCTTCTTTCCTTCTAGAAGACGCTCTCTCCTCTACCCATAATTGTTCTCCATAAACAATGGAAAGGAAAAGATTAAGCTTCATTAGAAAACAGTTTTTCCTACAGACTCCTTTCCCAGCCCTGAACACGTGAGCACTGAAGGGCACAAGGTGCTCAGGAAGGCCAGAGGTGAGGTCTGGACTTCTCAATAACAGGCAGCTCACAACCAATACAGAGTTAGCTTAAAAACCACATAACTTCACACATTCTTACACACACTGGCATTTATAATGAGCATTTGTAACCAGAGAGCAGAACACATGATGGAGGTATACAAAGGGCTGCAAGGAGAACCTTAAATAGTTACTGTTGCACAGTCAGAACTAAGAGAAACTCAGTGACACTCCTTGGCCTGTGCAGCACACAAAGTCAGACCAAAGGAGTACGCTCATCTACTTTGTCCTATGCTTTTGAGTTAATTTGTTTATTTCGTAAGAACGTCATTGAAAATATTAAACAAATATATACTTTTACCCTGCAAAAACTGAAACCTTCCTATTGTCATTGGCTAAAGCCAAGTAAGTAGCAAAATATATTACTATTGAGACATTAAAATTCTTAACGTATATCAAACCTCTAATTATGGCATAAAAAAAAAAAAAAATCTGTGCTTGTATGCTTCCAGATGGCATTAGCCTTTTAAATTTCCTTGGCATAAAAATAAAAGCTTTCTAAAATTAATTTTCTGCAACATAAAAATCAGGTAGTCCAAACATCTCTCACAACTCACAGGACCAGACTGCTCATCTTTTAGCAATTACACCAAGTGTGAGTAGCTCTGGTTTTGCACAAAGCTCTGGAAATACAAAGCTCCACATTATCACATGGTATCCCTGCTTTCCAGAGCACAAGAGGAACCCGGTGGCCAGCATAAGCATAGACACTGCACTGGGATGCCCCAGGCTTTCCACCAGCTCCGCTCACACCCATCAGCCATCCACAGTCTGTGCAGTCCTCAGCCTCTGCAGAGGTATGACATCCACAGAGCACAACCAGACAAGAAACTTCAGGATCACTGCTTGTGCAAAAGTTCTGGCCACCTACCTCATGCTAGCTGCTATTCCCCAGTGAGCCTTAGACTATCTATAGCACTCACAGGAGCTCCCACTGACACACAGCTGGCCAGTTCCATCAGAATGTCAACATCATAGCAGAGAGAAGAGAGAGTCAGTCTAAGAAAACGAGTGTTTAATCAGGAAACGAGAAGAGACAAGGGATAAGAAACTGATTACAGGAGAGTAATACCCCAGCCAAAAGAAACATGATTGTACAACTCCAAACGACCAGGATCAAAACGTCCTAAGAGCCAGCAGTGTCCAGCGAGGGACACTTGAGAAAGAGCCCAAGCACTTCTGGCAGTCACCAGGCAGCTCCGGGCAGTCTTGGACCTTGCCCAAGCTCCAGCCCCTGCCCTCAGCAGCTGCTGCAGAAAGCTGCAGAGGTGGCCCTGGCCCTGCTACTCCAGTCTCAGCTTCTCTCAGCAGGAAGGTGCTGAAAGGAATGAAGGGAGCACTGACTGTGCACAGCAGTCCCAGCCTCTCCCGACAGGAGATGGTATGTGGAGTAAGAGAAGCCCATACATAAAAAAAAGTTTACATATTTATAAATGCCAAAATAAATATTTAAGACAGACTCCCCCACCCCTCAAACACATGCGCAATCACCCTGCAACTGCTCGCAGGACAGTCTCCAGGGGCTCAGGGAAAAAAGCAATGACTACACCACAGGGCAGCCAGCTCGACTTCCTTCTCATTTCCTGATGCTTCTGAAGCCTGCAGCCCACTGGGAAGGTGGAGGAAGAGCGAGCAAAGCAGAGTACCAACACGCAACAGTGCTGGAGAGGAATGTCATGGTATAAATACATCAGATCAGTGGTTTCCAGCGAGTTAAAACTAAAATAAAAAAGACACCAGAAGGAAGAATGGTGTAAATGGAACTACAACTATGCAGAGCAAAGGGTTGTGTGGAGCTCCACCTGCTGTCACGGTGAGAAGGTGGTCATTTCTAGAGAGACCCTTTGCCACAGATCCTTTGTCTGCTTGCCGCGCTTCAGGTTCTGGAGAATATCATTAAACTGCATCATGCCCACGGGAGTCAGGCAGAAGGCGCTTCTGGCGCTGCGGATGGCATTCACAAAATCATCGTAGTCAGCTGGAGCGAGATGGATCAGCCGGTAATGGATGTACTGGATGGGAACAAGGAGAAAGCCTTAAGGTATTTTGCTCACCATCTTCATGCTGGTGAGACCCTTCTGGCAGGACTCACTTCAATAACGATACATCACACGATTCTGCTACCCCAGGAGAGGTCCCAGCATTCAGAGACACGGACAGAGGACAGTTAGCTCAAAAAGCAGGCCAAGGCAACTGCCAGTATCTGCGGGTGTTCTCTCCATTGTGGACACCAGACAGCAGCATAGCACAGAGCGAAAGGGTCACCTAGAGCCCTTCTCCATCAACCACCAGCATCAAACCCTCACACTGTTCATTCTGCAGGTTGTACACAGGGACCCAGCATGTTCATGGACATCATCTTTACTAAGGGGTATGGTAGGAGTAAGACTTGCATTGAGTTGCTACAACATATCTCTAGGGCTGGCACACATCTCTTCCCATCAGTACTTCCCTCAACTAAGGCCCCAAAACTGAAAGTCCAGTCTTCAAGAAATCTGTTTCTCTTGTGGAGCTCAGAAAAACAGCTCAAGTAAAGAAGCTGTCATTTCCCAGAACCGTCCAAGTGATGGGACAGTTAACCCAACCTGGACAGTATGTTTACAGAATCACCCTTTTGGTCACTTATTCAAGAGAAGCACTCAAGGGGTATCCTGTTTATACTGTTCTAAGAAACAGGTAGTTGGGTTGGCTCACAGAAACACACTTATCCTGTTTTCAATAAATCCTGAGACATCTCATCTGTACTGGGTGACCAAGCCACTCCCACTATAAATGCCAGCACTGGCACATCAGCCAGTCATGCAAAGACTTTGATATGAGGCAGAGAGGGACTACAAATAAGAAGAAAATGAAAAGGCCAGAAAGAGAGATGGACAAATGGCTTGAAAACATAGCAAAGAAACAGTACAGAAGTTAAAAGGCATGGGTTAACATTTAGAGTGAGGAAGAAAGAGGATAGGGAGCACAAAATATTTCCATCCTGTATAGCGAGCACCGGAGGCAAGAGGTCTTAGAAGAATGAGTGCAATGCAGTCTTTCATATGCAGCCTTCCTACAGGCAAGCAATGCCTATCCCAGACCCCTTGTGCATCAGGCAATGGACCAGTTCAGCTCATGATATTAAAGGCTCTTCCCCTCTCTACACATGCACACACAGGCAATAACTACAGGGCAGGCAGTGACAGGCAGGAAGACACACGACATGTTACCTGCAAGTAGACCTGCTGGCACCTCTGCACCAGCTGGTGGAAGGCTGGGGTGCGCAGATGGTTGTGCACATGTGCAGGGTTGAGCCTCTGTAGAGCTTCCATGATGATATCCTGAAGCACAAAAGGGTTCAGCACTCCCTTGGCTGCACCGACACAAAACTGATGCACGTAGTTTACACCTGCACAGGAAGAAGTCAGAACAACAGCGTTAAGGTGAAAGACACTCAAGAAATTAGGTGTCTTCCAGATAGAACCTGGACTTACAGCATCTTCCTCTCAGTGTTACGTATCCTCCAGCAGCTTCGGGAAGAGTCTAGCAAACTTATAAGGACAAGCAATTATTCTGACAAATTCAAGTCTGAGGAGAGACTGGGTACTACCTCAGTCAGTGATATTTCCTGTTCACCTGTCTTTAAAAGGGATATGAAAGAAAACTGATGGAACAGCGTAACTACAGAGACGAGAATATACTGCACCTCCTCTCACTGCTTCCCACCTGCTCATCTAGGAAGCACCTGCAGCCCCAGCACCCACACCTTTTGGATACTGGAAGGAGATTAAGGCTTCCCCATCACAGTGGAGCTTTGCTAACAGTAGCAGAAGTCATGCCACCAGGCAGGCTATTTGCAGAGTTGTTTTTAAGCTCTTGCTACTGGTGAAAGAATTAAAAAACATGAGATGACAAAAAAGACTCAAGATCAAAGTGTAACTAAAAGAAAACGGAAAAAAAAAAACAACACTTGGTGGTCTGAGCACCTATTCCTGTAAAAGGTCTTCGTAGAAAGAAAAACACACACAAAGAAGAAAGAAATATTTACAAAGTAGTGGAAAGGAAAAAAGTTACCGTTATAGAATGGAAGGTCTGAGCCCTGTCCAATCCTATGCACTTTAAGTGCCTCAAAATTCAACAGCATGCTTAGAGAGCCCAGAAATGGAACAACTGCCTGGATGAAAGAGCAGCAGGGATCTTTCGAAAAACTTTCAGAAATGAGATCAGGAACCAGACTCACCCAGGCTTTGAAGTTTTACTCTTAGAAGAGCTTTCCCCCCACCTTCCATAGTCCAAATCCCAGAAAGTGGATTTCTGCTGAAGTACTGCTCTGAGCCTTACCTAGCTTTGCAGCCAACCCAAGGAGCCATTTTACATCCTCTGTGTAGGGTGGACTGCGGGAGAAGTTGTTGGGATGATCGCTCTGAGTTCTTCGGCCAAGCATCTCCAGAGCCAGCATCCCTGTGAGAGAGGGGCAGCCAGAGTCAAGCAGCACTTCTGCCCTGTAGGACTTCATTCACCTCAACACTACCTCATTGGTCCACCCTTCAACAACAGAAAATTGCCTGACTGAAAAGAGTCCACAGAGAAACAAAAGGCCCATCTCAGAGGCTGTCACCAAAAGAAGCAGCTGGATCTACTCCAGACTGGGGAATCTGTACAGCCATCACACCCTACTAGAGCAGCATAGACACTGCTAGATCTACAGCAGGATCAAGTCCCAAAGATGTCCTGAAAAAAAACAGATAGCTTCAAATTTTGCAACAGAGACACTACCTAAATCAAACTACTTAGCTGCAAAGACAACAGCCCAACAGCAAGCAGCAGTAGCATCAATTTGCAGACTTTTCCCTAATTCCACTACAGCTCTTCAAACAAATTCTCCAATTTAAACAGTTTTAAAATACTAACGGGAGCTATGTAATGCAAAAAGTCTATTTTGATCTTCCAGACCCTCTTCCTTCATCTCCCTGTCTGTTATTCAAGCTATTAAAATGCCTTCCATGGCTTACTACTTACCCCTGTGATGCTTCCCATGAACATCCACACCCCTTCCTAACTGGGTAAGTACTTTCTTCTCTAGCTTTCAACAAAAAAACTCAGGCAATCTCCATACAGTCTTTCTTCAGTTTCTTGCTGTTTCTCTTCTTATGCTGCCCTGCAATGGCTCCTCTGATCTTAGGAGGCCCACTCCTCCCTCTCCAAGTACTTGCTTTGTTGGACTCTCACTCTCACTATATACAAATAGCTTACTACAGTCTAGGCTCAAGCAGAAACACCAGGACTGACATTCTTGCACAATGGTAATTTCAGGCATGGACTCACCTCTTAATTAATGTAACTGGAAAAGGAATATTACATACAATCACTTCTTGTCAGTCTTCAACAGCCTGGTGGAAGAGGCACAGGGAACATGCCTCTGTGCATGTGAAGACTTAACTGGTATTGTTAAAAGAGGTGTGCCTGCATCACCCCTGAGCAGCAGGAACTGAACTTCTTTTTACAGACACCTCCACAGAGCCCTATCCAGACTCCTCCAAAACACACTAGTTGAAGGGTAAGCCTCTTTCCAATACAAACCCACTTAACTTTATCTTTTACTCCCATAGCTCTCAACATTTCAACCTCCATGTAAGACCATAAATTGGCTTTCCCCATGTAGCTAGGATATCATCCTCCTCAACAAGTGCAGTAGCAAGTTGCCAAACAGTAAAAACCTGTAGCCCTGCCCTGAATCCTTCTCCAGGGGGCCACAGAAACCAACTTGGCTGTCCTTACCAACTTGGTATGCGGAGTGGAGGTAGTGCAGACCCTGGGGGCTCACAGGCTGACTGTGCTGCTCATCCTCGGCAGGAAACCCCCCTGTAACAAGGGAGTTGGGCTGTGAGGACAGAGATGTCAAGGAAGTCCCCTGAATCGCTGGGAACGTTGATCCTGCATGGACACTTCCTACTGAAGAAAGCAAAACAGCAGCATTAGGACTCGCCAACCAAAGCCTAAGGGAAGATTTCTTTGGGCTCATCATGTATTGTTCTCTTACCCTAAATAAAACAATACAAAAACCAAAGAACACAGACTTGCAACTAAAATATAATGAGCTAAAAATGTTTCTATTTTGTTTGCAAGCAGGGCCTAAGCAAGTTGATCATATGCTTGCCCATCTCTTCTGCAGTATACATGGGTATATACATGACATGTGTTTTACATGTAAATACACGTGTTGACTCAAAAGTCTTTGCAGTTACAAAATGATGTCTGGTTCTGATTTCTTATTCATGTAGATGTGCCCATCAACATCTGGTGAGAAACTGCTGAGAAAAAAAATCACCCAACAGGAACAATATTTTCTCACAGGAAGTCCAACATTGCATGGTTCCTCCAGCTCTAAGTTAGTTATGACACCATCCAGATACTATGTGGGAAGAGAGTTACTAGAGGCTAGCTGCTAGTCGACCCTCATGAAGAATGCTCCTGTACACTTTGGCAGCAGGTATCTACTGTAAAAACTGCAAGGAAACTTCAGAAGATTCTGTCCCCTTTAGACACCAAACTAATACAGAAAAGTTTAAGAAAAATTACAGAAAAAAACATCACATAAGCTTGTATTGACAGCAGTTAACATTAAGTCAGTAAGCTGTATTCTGACAAGGGACTCGAGTTAATCTTTGCTTCTCAAGAAATGCATGGAAAGGAATTTTTTTATTTTTATTTTTAAATGCTTACTAGTGAATAGTTGTATACCTGAGAACAATACGCCTCCCAGGACAGATCTGTCTACCCTCCTTAGCCAAGGAGACACAAAGTGCCAAACGACCCGCAAAGTGGGGAAAATCCATGCTACATTTGACATTTAGCCAAGAAGAACAACCCACAAGAATGAACTGAATTGTTGCCAGAGCTCAGTTGTCACCATGTGGCTATGTTCTTCAGGAACAGCAAGACACTATTTTAAGAACTGGAAGTAGAAGTTTCTGAAAGCCTTAAACAATGGCAACTGGAAAGGGTGGGGTTGTTTTTTCCTTTTGTTATTTTAAATGCTCTAACATGAATTAACAGTTCAGTTAAGAACTCAGTCAGTGTCAGCAATTCCAATGCTGCATGCTGCTTGAAGGGTCTTCACCACTGTTCTAGCCCCAGCACAACATGTAAGCATTCATTCAAACTACTATTGATGTGATTCTGCCAAAACATCTGCCCCACCCTACAGAAGTTCTACGTTTCAGGTACTGGATGCCTCCAATTTCTTAGGGTGGGAAAAATATCTATCAGTGTCTGCTCCTTGCACGCTGTCCCAAAAGAATCACCAGTCTGCTCAAGATTATTTGTGCTCATCTTGTCCTAAGGAATGGACACTGAGGGTTAAAACTTCAAGTTAGAGGTCAGAAAGCCAGGAAGTCCATTGAATTGAAGTCTGAGAGTTGAAAATAATCTCAATACTGTACCTTTATCCAGACATCAATTAAAGCTCCACTAGCTGAATAAGGCCTTGTTACAAACCCCAGTACCATTGAGCAGGCACATCTTTAGGCTGTGGTGGATTTGGTCAGAGTTCAGAGCAAGAACCCTTGTCCCAAGTGATGTAGGTAAGGAACAGGACTTGGAGTACAGCTAGGAGATACAGTAGCAAACATACGCTACGTACAACACAGGGCTGTAACACTTACTTGCTACATTGGAAGACAGTGACAGTCCAGTTTCACTGTGGTAGGGATGCACTGCTATCTGGGTCATGGACGGGACTGGCACACCAGGGAACGACACTGCTGTAGCTGCCAATGATGGTGTTGTTACCGAATAGGGATACTGTGCTCCTATGAATGCTGGATGGACACTCTAAAATAGAAGACAACAACTAACAGTTGTGCCTACTGTATCTCACCATTTCCAAGTCCAAAATACAATGCCCCCACACCAGCCTCAAAAGCAGTGGAAGTCCAATTACAAAGAGGAAGCACAGCAAGAAGCAGCACAGTAACTATCTTGCACGACGTGACTACTACAACTGCTTGTTCCTCCTCCATTTAAATCTGATTACTCTGCACAAAAGCATTCTGAGAACTTTCGCAAATAGAGTCTAAAATAATCTTTAATTTTCCCTTTGTACATTTAGTTTCAAGATGACAAGGCTTCTGTCACGTACATAGCGGGTGTTTCGAAAAACTACTGTGTAATAAAAATTAAAACCTACTGATATCTTTTATATTCTTTCAAGACTTTACATGCACCTACAGAAGGCTCTTTATCAGACAAAAAGCTGAGCTGGAGGGCCAAAGTAGGCATCACAAACCAGTAAGTGAATACATGAGCCAATCTCAAAACACAGCCAAACAGCCAGGGAGAGCCCCACGCTCTCCCCAGCTAGACATACTCCCTCTGGAAGCAGTTACATAAAATTTCTGTAAATGAGCGAGCTACAGGTAAGACTCACCTGTGGATACGCTGAGCCAGGCACTGGGAAGACAGCTGGACGTGGCATGTGCTGGATAGTGTGTCCAATATACTGGGGATTACAGGGAATGTGAGTCTGAAGGGTGGTGTAAGGGTGGAGGCCCTGGGTGTGTGTATGCGCCATTGCCGGTCCTGCCATTGTATGCTGCTGGTACATGGTTGACCCCATAGAGATCACTGGCACGACCGTTGCTGATGCGGTTACTGCAGCTGCCACTGTTACGGTGGTTGGCTCAGTGGTCACCCGGTTGTCTGTCAACCCACGTGCTGCTTCTGATGCAGCCCGTGCACCACTGGCACTGCAGCCAGTGGCACCTTCTCTCTGGGCTGGAGTCCCACCAACAATCTGTTCATAAAGCCAGTACCACTGGTGAGCTACTTCAAAGAGAACTTCTGGGTAAACGCCACCTCCCTTGGCTGCCTCTTCTACTGCCATACAGGCCTTTTCCAGCATCAGATTGTCCTGAAGGCAGAGGAAAAAAAAAAACAGAAGCAAATAATGAAGGAACAGGAACACAAGAACACAAATTACAACAGGAGAAAAGTTCTAAGGCACTCTAAAATGAATGAAGCTATTGGGAGCAGCTAGATCACAACTATGCAGCAGAATAGCCAGAGCTATTCATAAAAGACAAACCTACAGAACTGAGACTAAGGGCTGTTCTGTAGCAGAGAGGTGCCAATCCCACAAGTAACAGTACGTCCCTGATGCTGGAAACCAGCTTGTTTCAGCTAGTTAACCCCCATCTGACACTCACCTGTTCCTTGCACTGCACCAGAGCCCTTTGGATCTCATTTGGATTCAGGGCATGGGCATGGGGCAGGCAGCTGAGTGCCAGTTCAGCAGCTGCCCGCACCATGTTGGAGTCTCTGGCCCGCGAGGCTCTGTCTGCCAACGATGCCACCTCTGGGGGGGTCAGATGTCCATCCCAACACTCCACTAAGATGTTCAGGGCTGCACTACCAATCTCCATGGCCTGCCCTAAGAGTAAAAGAGAAGACTCACACTACTGACCATGCCCACAGGAGTTCCTGCCAGGTTTCCCTCAACAGGGGTTGCACTCATCACTTTCTTCAGTTACTGCAACAGAGTACTGTTGCTCACCTTAGGCTGCAAATCAAATATAACGCTCTTCCTCCCAAAACACAGAACAGGGAAGAGCCTTTGATAAGCAAGTGAGTGAAGGTATCATTATCAAAATGAAGCTGAAGATGTATTTGAGACAGTGAGAGGAACTTGAAAGAGCCTACAGCTCTTCAGAACTGAAACAAAACTGCACAAGTCACTGGTGCTTAGCTTGTGCTGCTGCCATCTGTGCCTTACATGACTGCCACAGCATCATCAGCTTTGGGAATTAGCTCACCCCCTGCCCCTTCCTGCCCAAAAGCCAGCCTCCCAATTACGTTCTGCTGTAACCTGTGATCCAGGAGACATGGGAGGAGTAAGTTCGAGAGAGCCAGTTGGGAGACACAAAGTTGTGCAGCCCTAGTGCATACAGCCCAATCTCAAAGGCGCAGAGGTGAAGATTGCGGTGTGGTCCCTGGTGTCCACCACTGGAGGAAGGGTGGGTGAAGATGGAGGTACTGCTGTTTCCACCTGCTTTGATAAGGACTGTCTTGGCCAATTCAAAGTAGAAGTGGGCAGCTGCCTCTGAAGGCTGGTTCGGGACATGAGGAGCATGGCTTTCCAGCCGCCTCCCTTTATATCTAAAGAAAACAAGAGATAATTCTCAGAGAGCAATGGTACTCCATGTTCTCTAACTCAGGTGCAAAGTTCTTATCTTTAGGGTCCACAGAAAACAAAGAAACTCTCCCACGAAAATATTTTCTAATGCACACATGCTAGTTCTCTGAGATCAGGGAAGGCTGCCTCTATGCATCATGTACTATTCATTACCTGCCAACTTCCACAGTCTTTGCACGGGCTCCCCCACTGGCTCTCCTACTGCCACTGGAAGAGGAAGATCCCAGTGAATCACTTGAAGAACTACTGATGCTGTCGCTGTCTTGTCCTCGGCCCCAGGATGTTGCTGCCCATCCCCCACGTAGAGGACGCCGACTGAGCGTTGGAGAACTGTCAGAGGTAGTTTCAGGAGCACTGCTGTCAATACTAGCCATGCCTACAACACCAGAGCACATACAGTAATGTCAACAGGTACACCTCATGCGTCACAGACAGTCATGTCAGTGAGAATTTAACACTGCATACTGGATGAGAAGAAATCAGTCAGTTTGGTCACAGATATCACTTTGAAGTTCTTGGATTAAAAAGCAGAAAAGTCTGAGAGCAATGTGTCTTCATTTTCCCCTTAACACCGTATCTCAGCCACTATCTCCACCTGCTAAGCTTTATGGCAGAATATAACAACAAGTTGCAAATATACAAACAAGCTTAAGTTCTACAGATGCCCTCCTAGTGCAGGCTACACAATTTATACAAAGGTTTTCCATAACCTTCTGAAGAGAAGTGCATCAGGCAGCAGCTCCCCTAAATTTGTTTCTGGACCCGAGCACAGTGCTCTGCTCCCTATTATTATAAATATTCTATTCCAGATATCTAGTCCATTACCCAGAACATAACCGCTGTGAGAAACGCATGCATATGGTAAACTGCAATTCGTTAGAGGCTGGGAAGGAAATCTGTGGATCAAAACCTTTTTTTCCATGCCAAACAAAGCTAATCAACTGCTCCTGTAGTATAGGAAAGGCTGACAAGCAGAATTAAAGAGCAAGGGAACAATTGAAACCTCAGCATGGTACCCAGCACAGCACTAGGAGTTAGTTACTACCTGTGTGTTTCTTCTTCTGCCTGACAGGTGAACCCCAGCATCTCCCGTTGTATCCACCTCGGTTTCCAAGGGCCAGACGACTGGGGACCTTTCCTTCCTGTTTCAAGACAGTGGATTCCCCAGCTGGCTCACAGGGGGACCTCTGAGAGCTCTCTGCATAAACAGGACAGTGACAAGCTAATTATTACCATTTGTTTCTGCATCTTTAAAATCATTAAAAGATGCATGATTTTTTGAAATTTGGGTGTATTTATGAGCAGGATTATCTCATTTTTTTCTGCATTCAGCATTTCATCAGATACTAGGCTAAAAACACTGAAACTTAGTAACACAAAATTTGTAAAATTTGCTGCAACTGTGCAAATTTGCATAAAGATTTACAGTAAAAATGCTCCAGCAACCCTAACTTTATTGTATTTATCCTCAGCTACAACTCATCTCCATGGGAAGAGTTAAGCAAGCATCCACTCTCCTGCATGTAATGCTTGTAACCAAAGTGAGCACAGCTAGAAGAAAATCATACCATTTATCTCTAACGATCTTCAGCAATTTTAGTTATTTATTTTGCATGAATGCCTCTGACTCAGTTTGTAACTTTTTGAAAACTGCACCTCTGATAAAAAACCGAAAAAGATGGAATCATAGTGGTTTTACAGTAACTGGCTAACACAGCTGGCTCAAGACAGGAAAGCCTGAAAATTAGCTTGAATTTCTAAGCAACAATGATGTGTACAGAAATGGATTCAGACAAACAATGGAGGAAATAACATTCCAGTAACCACCAAGCAATCAGGTGGTAATACAAATCATTCTGACTATTATTCAATAGAGATGTGAATTTACAGTTTAGGTTTTACATGGATGACCAAAGGGTTTCAAGCATAACCCTTATAAAGCATCTCTTACCCTGTGAACTCTTCTCCACAAAAGTCTCAGGACTGCTCTGAACTGCTGGGCTTACACCAGCTTGCTGAGCGACTGAAGTCCCTGGAAGCTGCTGGATGGCTGCAGTGGACTGGGCAGCATGTTTGGAAGGAGATTTTTGGTTTGCTACTGTAGGCTTGCTGGAAGAGTAGAAGGAACTCAGAGTCTGTGGCTTGTGAGTCTGACTCTCTCTGTCCAGAAGTTTGTCTAAAATCTTTAAGAGCGAGAAAAAAATATATATAAAAGAGCTTTCCAGATGGGTAAGAGAACAGGCATTATACTAATAAATAGTGGGGAAGTACCACATCATTTCCTGGAAGACTATAAACTCCACTCAACTGGAGAAAAAAAGAAAATGCTTTTTCAGTGAAAGGAGGCAGCACTTCCTCACACAGATCAGCTAGGCACAGTTGAGAGCCATATGGCCTGCATTGCAACAGTTCATTTGTACTCAGTAATATCCCCATTTTCACTTCAAAAAAGCCACTGCCTTCACTTGAAAAACACCTAAACTGACATTACAGAAGCAGTTCTGCCACATCAAGGACAGAACAGAGGATTCTACATTTAGTGTCTGTCATTATATGTTCTTAAGTTTAAGTCATTAAATTTCCATACTCAACATCCAAAACATCTGTCACACAATTACTAAGAAACTGACAAAGCCTCTTCAAACCTTCAGACACTAGAGAAATTGCCTTCCACCAACTTAAAATAACAACACGTTCTCACCTTATTTATTACAGAACTGGGGAACAAAGCTTGACTGCATTATTTTTTGTGTTTGTCCAATTCTACTCTTTGTTCTATACATAGAATGAACATCACAGGTCTGATAGAGCACTTATTTTTAGACAACTGATATCATAACCTTCCTGTTCATCCTCACAGCTGAGAAGAGTATAACAAAAAAGCTTCAGCTTTACGTGAGAGAAGTATATTAATAGTGTTCTTACTGGGAGAAGTGCTTCTGAATAAAAATGATAAATAAAAACTTTCTTGATTCTTCAACAGTTTTTGATAAGTTTTTTCCTCTGAAGAGGGAAGGGACCTGAGGGTGTTGGTTGATGCTCAGCTGAACATGAGCCGACAGTGTGCCCAGGTGGCGAAGAGGGCCAATGGCATCCTGGCCTGCATTAGAAATAGTGTGGCCAGCAGGAGCAGGGAGGTAATCATCCCCCTGTACTCAGCACTGGTGAGGCCACACCTCGAGTACTATGTTCAGTTTTGGGCCCCTCACTACAGGAAAGACATTGAGGCCCTGGAACAAGTCCAGAGAAGGGCAACAAAACTGGTGAGGGGTCTGGAGCACAGGTCTTATGAGGAGCGGCTGAGGGAGCTGGGATTGTTTAGTCTGGAAAAGAGGAGGCTCAGGGAAGACCTCATTGCACTCTACAACTTCCTGAAGGGAGGCTGTGATGAAAAAAGGTCTGGCCTCTTCTCCCAGGCAAATAGTAGGACCCGAGGAAATGGCCAGAAGTTGTACCAGAAGAGGTTGGACATTAGGAGAAACTTTTTCTCTCAGAGAGTGGTCAAGCACTGGAATGGCTGCACAGGGAGGTGGCAGGGTCACTGTCCCTGGCAGTGTTCAAGAGGCGCCTGGATGAGGAGCTACGAGATCTGGTTTAGTAGCTTGTGGTAGCAGTGGTAACGTGAAGACGGTTGGACTAGATGATCTTGTAGGTTGTTTCCAACCTTGTAATTCTATGATTCTAAGTCACGAAATGGGAGCAGAGTTGTACTCTCTTGCATGGACCATTAAGGCACAGATGGATTGAACTTGTATATAGAATAAGAGAGAGATTAAAAACAACAAAACACTGCATCAAAACAAAACTAATCCCCATACAACAGATACAGAGCATACTGAAAACCCCTGGGACAGAAACCAGCAGCCAAGTAAAAGCATTAACTACAGTCAGAAAGCATCTCTCAACTGGAGCTTAAGAAACCTTTGGTAAGAGTGCCTCTTCCAGGGCAATGCATAATGCGCAGTCAGATTTTGCCTCAGTAAGAGAATATAAAAACTAACAACATGCTTGCAAATCATCAGTGCACATAGTGACTTATGCTCACTGGGAAAACACAATCATGGTTTACTCTGCATCTCTGGGTCCCCTTTTAAAGGGAGGCTCACCTTCTTCAGCTTCGATTGATCATCCTTGTAGGTAATCATCAGAGCTAGTGCCAGATCTCCTTTCTCCCTTCGAGTGCCTTCACACAACAGAGGATGTTCTGCTTCACTGACAGTTGTCTTCATGCCTACAGGCCAGAAAGGAGAAGGATGAAAAGGCAAGCGAGACCATGGGACTACACTGCATCCTTAGCAACATATATACATATGAAGAAGAACTTTTCCTATTTTTCTGTTAACTTCAGAAATAGGTCATGAATAAACAGAAGCGACTGTATTCCCCCAGAATACCAAGCACGGTACAACTGTCAGAGCAATATGATCAGAACGTGCCATAGAGAAGAGGCCAGACATGTCCACAACTTCATCTTGAAATAAGTTTTTCCAGTTTCTGCAGATGCTACAAAGCCAGCACTTCTGCTCCATACAGAACTCATCTTTGTCTTTTCAGAGATAAGGCAAAAGAGGACCGGTCTTGTTTAACCCATTCTATTCCTAATTTTGCATGCAGCTTTATAACAGGTATGCATCACTACCAACTACTAATAGCATACTAAAAAGCAGAATAACTACTGCTTTGTCACTGAAGCTGTTGTAAATGAGAAGTAGGAATCCAGTATTCTAAGATCTTGAATTACATGATAACACTTAAGAATACTTCTGCTAGTCTTTCACCATCATTGTCTAACCTCTTCTGATGATTGCCTTTTTTTTCCTCAGAAACTGCTCATCTTCATTAGAGCAATACATCTTCCATCACAAGAGATCAAAAAGAAAACTAAGATACCGTTACTACTTTAACATCCAGTTCCTGTCCCATATTCTTACCAAGAGCAGCAACAGCTGCTTCAAAACCAAGCTCTTCATCTCCAGGCATTTCATTATTCCAATTGCGACTTGGAGGTCTGCAGCCTGTAGGAGAAACCACTGAAAGAAGACAAGAGAATTAGTGCTCAGCTTTCAGAACTAGGATCTCAGGGAAACAGCTGTTTCTGAGAGCTTTCTGAATTTGCAGAGCTTCCCATGTTCCTATTCCTGATCTTTGTATGAGTTTCAAGACAATACCTTGTTTTTCTTTTCCCTTTTTCTCCCTCTAAACTCAGAAGGCTCCTAACCAGGTGGGAATATCACCAGGTCATCTAATCTCAGGATGCTGGTTTCTTTTTTAAAATCCTGCACTTATATTATCTTCCACTGAATACAACCATCATAATAGCAGAAAAGTCAATCATTTTAACTGTTTTAAAAAAGCAGACAAGCAGTGCTGGAATATGCTAAGTTTTCAGTTGCTTCCAAATGCAAAAGGAAGGAGAGAGAATTTATATCTCCAGAGCAAGAGCAAGCAACAGTGTGGGAAGAATCAAGGTTAAGTTGTTATGTATCCAGTAGACATTTTCTGTTTGAAAACCCCTCAAGATCTGGAATCTCAGAAAATTCCCTTTGCACATTCAAGTCAATGTAGACAGTACCTGGAGTGCACAGGACATCAAATATAAAGCTAGCCAACATGAGAGGCAGGACAGGACGATAATCACATAATGTGCCTTCTCGCAGTTCTTCAGCTCTTCCTCGAATAGTATTCATCTCATTAGTGACCAAGGGAATCTTCTTCAAGAGGGCTGCAATCTCAGACTCCTGATATGCCAGCTTCACCTGGTAGTATCCACAAGGGAACAGAAGCAGCTGTCATCAGCACCATTTTTCCCTTACATTTGTTGAAGTATGGCAATAGCTTTTATTGGTCCATTACATTACAGCATTTTTTAGCACCCAATTCTTTCCACAGTGAACACACATCATAGAATCATCACAGAATGGCTCGGGTTGGATGGAACCTTAAATCTTCAAACCTAGTTTCAACCTCTCCACCATGGGGAGGCTTGTCAACCACCAGATCAGATTTTCAAGTTTAATATACGTCCTGACCCACATTTATACACAGCCTCCTTTTTCATTCAAATTATCACTCTTGAACTATCAAAGGAACATAAGGAGAAGCATTTGACTAGATAAGGCACTATAGAAGTGATGACATGTATGAAAAAAAAGGATGCTAAGCTAAGAAGTACACTCAGTAGATACAAAAGGGATTGATTAGAGAATAACAGCATGGGGTAGCAGCAAGCACAGCATACCAGGGTGAAGACCTATTACATTTTAATACTCTATGCAATTTCTGCATTCGTTTCATTTTGGAAATTTGAAAGTGATTGTTTTCTCTGAAACAGCATAGGTAACTAGTAACTAGGTAGATTGCCAATCTCACACAATCTTGTAATCAGACTGAAAGAAGTACAGATAATCAGTGTAAGAAGTGTACTTGGTGGATTAGTAGCAACAATACACATCTCCAGGGACTGCTCAACACTGCATTCAAAGCAGTGTGCTTGTAAATCAAATAGACAAGGTCTTAACTGAGTACTTCTCTTTTCTAAACAGGAAGCCTAGTAGTAATTAGGCAGTGTCGAAAACTATATATCTGCACTGTGCACTTGCTCACGTGCCAACTAACAAAATGTCAGCAAGAACAACAATTTTCAAACAGGAAAGAATTGCAGCAGCACACCTAAGAAATATATTTCATAAACCATTTCATCAGTGCAAGTATAGACAATTCAGTTTACAAATGGTTGTTTTTTTCCCCCTAAATTGGCCAAGCAAACTGGAAACATACTTAAGACAACAAGAACTAAACTGCTCCATTTAAAATAAAATACTCATAAAATATACTGTTCTCATTTAAACACTTTCAAGACTCTACCTTCATGCAAAATCATAGGCCTTTTGGCAATGATGTCTGGTCCTCCTTTCAGTGAAGGACGAGCCCAAATGAAATAGTATTTCTCATCAAGTTTCTGGCAAATCAACACGTGCTTGGGATTTGTGGACAACCCATTTTGTCTCAGTATAAACAATTTTTAGAGAACATATAAAAAAAATGACCTAGCTTCAAGAATTTAAATGGGAACCACAAGCATAACTTCCCAAACCATAAGCATTGCAACTTCCTGAAGGGAGGTTGTGATGAGGAGGGGTTTGGCCTTTCTCCCAGGCAACCAACAGGATTGAGGAAATGACCATAAGTTGTGCCAGAGGAGGTTTAGATTAGACATAAGACACTGGAATGGCCTGCCCAGGGAGGTGGTAGAGTAACCATCCCTGGCAGTGTTCAAGAGGCATCTGCATGAGGAGCTATGAGATATGGTTTAGCAGCTTGAGGTAGCAATGGTAATGAGAAAACAGTCAAACTAGATGATCTTGTAGGCCCTTTCCAACCTTGTAATTGTATGATTCTATGATAAGCATTCAAGCAGCACAATGTTGATCACGGATGCTGCCTTTAAAATGTTTTTTACCTCCAGTGCCTTTGTAGAGGCAGGCGGTCTCTGCAGCTCCAGAGCAAACATTCCTATTCGGAAGGCCAGGTTGTGGTACTCCAGCCGCTCACTCAATACAGTCAGCAGGAAAGCAGCTTTGGACAAGGTGTTGGTTGCCATCCATGTTTGCTTGCTGGTTGATACCTTGTTCTTTTTGCCCTGTTTAACAAAAAATTTGTAACAGGACGCTTTCCTAAACATCCTAAATGATGCTACGCCTGCCCTCCTATTCTTTGCAATAAGCAAGAGACAGAAGAAAAAACACAGAAGTGATTTCCTTTGCTGAAGAATAACAAATCCCAATGATTAACCAGTATCACTCCTTCCCCATCTCATCTCAGCACAATGTGATAAAGAGTTGGCCTGTTGATGACATGCATGTCCATTATTGGACTGATGCTGTGCAGGCAGATGCTGCATGCCTGGTTCCTTCCAGTGGAACCTTTCCTTAAACATTGTTTAGAGCCACTACAAGTAATTTTCCAGAAGTTTATGCTTTTTTCTTTCCTATCCAATCCTGCACTCTAAAACAGCAAAGTTCCTAACATTTCCAGTGCACATTATGAAATAGCAGACTAAGAAAAGACTAAGAAAGAAACATATGAAACAGGCACATCACCTGCACAAATCTACACAAAAATCAAGACTTTATTGCTGTATAATCTCATAGCACATAGTAGCAGGTATCTCTTAAACAAAGCATTCTTTGACATTGATGTTAAACAGGATGCTTTATCCCATTTAACAGATGCTCAATCAGATTCAAAACAGATTCCTAAAAAAGCTGCCGCTCTTAACAAACCAGGTTGAGGAACTTGTAACAAAACCAGAGTTTCTTAAAAATTCAAACTCATGCTGAACGGCCTCTTACATTCTTTCTCCTTTATATTCCTTCACAAGGGCACAGTGATCAGGTTAACGACATCCAGAGCTCAACTCAATGACAACATCAATGAAGGGACCTGAATCACAATATATAAGAAATGCCTAGGAACGCCGTTGTACCCATCCCACATCTTTCTTCTGTTTTACCCTCCATCCCCAAAACTAGGTAAGTACTCTCTACCTTAGTTGGTGGCTGCTCCACTTTGAGATCTGGAGGGTTGGCTAATAGGTCCCTGGCAAGTTCTACAGTTAAGCGACATGCTTCATTACTGTATCCATGTGCATACAGGGCTTCTGCACAAGCAAACAGGATCTGTAAGAAAGAACAGGTAATCATATTTAAATCACACACCTTCAGGCTAGAGATAGCCTGCTCAAACCACCTGTCTCAAAGTCTTGGTAAAACACAATTCGCCATTAATCTCAGCAGCAGGTATGCTCAGTGAACTCCTTGCCTCAGCCTTCACCACCATTCCTTTAAGCACACCTCTAAAAATGCTCATCTTGTACGAATAGTTCCTCCCTTCAAGTGCTATAAGAGATCAGAGAATAACTCAAAGGAAACTGACTGACTGTTTCCATGTACCTCCTTTTTCACTGCTTGCTGAATGTATATTGAGGTAATTACCGAAATATGACAATGCCTATTTAGGTTGTCTCTGGTCTTCCAAAGAACTTCTGCTTATGCAGTTTGATAGATTTTTCTCCTGGTGGGCATTCCTTGATCTCACTTATTTTGAATTTCAGCTCAATTTTCACAGAATCACATAATGATTGTAAAGGACCTCTGGAGGTCATCTGGTCCAACAGCTCTGCTCAAGCAGAGACATCCAGAGCAGGCTATTCAAGTCCACGCCTGGACAGTTTTTGATGATCTCCAAGGAGGGAGACTCCACAACCCCTCTGGGCAGCCTCTGGTAGTGCTCTAGGAAGCACTTCTTTGACGTCCAGTGTTCACATGGAAGCCCTTGTGTGCCCATTGCTTTTGTCCTGGCACTGGGTACCACTGAAAAGAGCCTGGCTCTGTCTTCTTCCTTTCACCCTCCCTTCAGGTGTATCAGGACGCTGATAACATCCCAAGCCTCCTCTACTCCAGGCTGAACAGTCCCAGCTCTCTCAGCCTCTTATCACAGGAATGATGATGCAGTCCCTTAATCATTTTGGTGGCCGTCCACTGGACTCTCCAGCACATCCAGGTCTCTCTTATATGGGGGGACCAAGCAGAGGGGAAGGATTACTTCTCTTAACCTGTTGACAATACTTTACATAATGAAATCAAGAATACTGTTGGCTTTCTCAGCAACAAGGGCACACTACTGACACATGTTCAACTTGAAATCCACTAGAACACTTCAGTCATTTTCTGCAAAGTTGCTTTCTAGCTAGGTAGCACCCCCAACACGTACTGGTGGCCTGGAGTTATTCCTTCCCACTATTCACTTCTTGTGCAAAGAGATTCTTGTCAGCCCACATCTCCAGTCTGACAAGGTCCCTCTGGATAGAAGCACAACACTCTTGTGTATCCATCACTCCTGCCATTTTTGTGTCATCTACGAATTTGCTAAAGGTGACTCTATCACATCACCTAGATCATTAAGATGTTAAACAGGACAGGACCTGGTACTGACCCTCTGCAGTACTCCGCTCATTATTTTGCCTTATCTGAACAGCTAGAAAAAAAGAACACACAGTTTTGCCCACATTTGCAATATAGTACCAGCTAAAATTAGGACATGATTGCACAGTAGAAGGGAATTAAGCTTGTAGGAAAGCAGGTGTGATACTACCACATTAAGATTGTAGATCTTATGATATAATGGGTTATGATATAATTAAGCCATATAATGATGGCTTAATAATCACTTTATATAACAACATACTAGGTTAACTGTGATACCTGGGAGAGTGGAGAGAACATGAGGTTCATAATACATGAAGAAAACTGAAAAACAATGTTTTGAACTAGATTCTGCTCACCTCCATCCGGTTCTCCTGCTCCAGAGGCTTTATACCAGCAAATATATCCTGCTCCTCTTCATTTCCCCCTTCAGCTTTGTCATCATCTTCCTTGGCTACCTCTTGTGGATTCAGATAATATACCTGGTAATCATCTTCCTCTTCTCCGTCATCCCCTCCACCTGCTGCACCATTCTCTCCTACTTCTTCTGGCTTCAGGCTCACACCACCGCTGTTCTCATCCGCAGAAGTCAGGTCATCATCACCACTACCTGTCTCTCCCACAGGATCCTTGGTCGATTTCTTGCCCGTGGAACTGCTCCTGACACTGGGCTCAGGTCCTTCAGAGAAGTACACCCCACCATCCTCCTCAAAGGCATCCCTGTAGCTCCTGCTCAGTGGGCTTTCTGTAAAACTAAATGTATTGCTGGCTTCTGCACCCAGAGCCAAGCTGCTGTCATCCAGGCTCATCTCCGCTAAGTCTGGCTCCAGGGAGCTGTCTTCACTGCTCATGCGGCGTTTCCCACTATGCTTACTGGTCAAACCTTTGCTCACTGGCAACTTAGCTTTGCCCACTGCACTCTTATACACAGCTTTATCACCTTCTGCTGAAAGTCGTCGCAGAACTCTCTGGGGTGTTTCAGAGACAACTTTTCTCTTTCCAGTAAGTTCCTTTGGACGAACCGCTGGCTCCTGAGGTGAGGGACGCAGCCTGTCCCCAGGTTGCAGACATGGTCCCCCAGGCTCCTGTCCATGGGCTCTACCAGCCTCACAAGCAGTTTCCGCACACTGCAACCGGCAGCTCCTCTGTTGGATGGCCTTAACCCAACAGAATGAGTTTTTCTTGTCAGTACTGCTATAGGTGATCCCAGGGATAGGATAAGCTTCCTCCCAGTTGAAGTAACAGGCTTCCACTGCTGGCTTGAAACCCTGGAATAGCTTCTCCAGTGATTTCTTGTGCTGACCTCTCTTAACATTATCTATGACCTTTAGCTGCCACTGCCTGAGCTGGGAGCAAAGGTCCCTGCGCCTAAGAGAAGAAGAAAAAGAATAGGTTAGAGAGCAAACATAAAATGCACCAGCAACAAACTTCCTCTTAAACCACTCCTCCTGTTCAGAAAGACAACAGAATAGAAAAAGGAAACAGGTCTAAAAACAACCAATCCTAGATAGGCCCACAACACAGAAACAAGATGTGAACAGTACCGTCAAGAAAGCATGATACAAACTGGGAGGTTTAAATTGAAACACTGCTTTATTTTGTTATCGGCTTCAAACAAGGAATCAGCAATATGAGCCCCAGTAATCTGACCAGCAAGTGCCATGGGGAAGTGCTCTTTGAAGTATGCGTAAAACTGCACTGCGTGGCCTCACCTCCAGCACTTGAGCGCAGCTCTGGGTGCCACAACACAAGGACAGAAAGCTAATAGAGAGTGTCCAAAGGATGGCTATGAAGATGGTGGGGGGTCTAGAGGACAAGGTGTATGAGGAGCAGCTAAGACCCCTGGATTTGCTCAGCAGAGGAGCTGAGGGGAGCCCTCATGGCAGCTGCAGCTCCTCACAGGGAGCAGAGAGCAGCGCTGAGCTCTGCTCTGTGTGACAGCACAGGGCCCAAGGGAACGGCATGGAGCTGTGTCAGTGGAGGGCAGCTGGGGGTAGGGAAAGGGTCTGCACCAGTGGGCGGTGGGCATGGAACGGGCTGCACAGGGCAGTGGGCACAGCCCAAGTGTTGGAGTTCAAGTAGCATTTGGACACCACTCTAAGATTTGGATTTTGGGTGGTGCTGTGTGAAGACAAGAGCTGAACTTGATTCTCATAGGTCACTTCTAGCTTCTAGGATAAAACTGTTTGTAGATGTGAAACAGCACTGCTAACAACTCCTGTCAAGTACGACTGAAACAGCCTGACCAGGGAAGCCCCAAGCCACACAGGACCTCCTAGTCTACCTCTCAGGCATGAATCTTTCTACCCTGATGTGCCTATCTAAAATCTAATTTAGGCTATAGCAGGCTATCCTCAGAAAACATAACTATTTGCAAATCCTGTGCTTGCGTGCAGAACAAGCAAGACAAAAATGTAATTGAAACAAGCTGGTAGGCTTAAATTCACCTAAATTGCACAGCAGTGTATGGGAACTGACAGGTCAAGGCATGAACCAGTGATTGAGCACCTGGTGATGGGGGTGTATCCAGCCCTGGGAGCACAGGTGCAAGCAATTCACCTGTGCAACTGGAAGGGGTAGACCCTAGGTCCACCCCTCTCTAACCTCATTTAACGGCTGACCACCAAAATGGAAGCATCTCTACTTGAAAACAGCCTACTTTGAGAGTTTTCCAATGAGCCATTATCCTTAGAAAGGGGTACCTGAATGGGACCTACAAGAAAGCTAGGGAGGGACTTTTTAGAAAGGCATATAGAAAGGACAAAGGGAAATGGTTATAAACTGGAAGAGGGTAGATTTAGACCAGATATTAGGAAGAAATTCTTTACTGGGGGAGTGGTGAGACACTGGAACAGGTAGCCCAATGAGACTGTAAATGCCCTTTCCCTGGAAGCATTCAAGGCCAGGCTGAATGGGGCTTTGAGCAATCTGGTCTAGAGGGAAGCGTCCCTTCCTATAGCAGGGGGTTGGAACTAGGTAATCTTAAAGGTCCCTTCCAACCCAAACCATTCTATAATTATTCTCTGTTACCAAATTGTGACCAATACCTTTTTCGGATGACCTGAAAACCAGTCAGTGGCAGCTATACTCTCTGCCTTATACCATACAAGCAGGTAGTCCCATGCCTTGCATTACCCCAGAAAGGACAAAACATTTCTGCATTTTGCAACTACAGATCTCAGCTATGGCCTAAATAGGCAAACAAGTTAGCCTGAATGGGTAACGATGTTTAGGTGATCTAATTCAACACGTTTCTAGAAAAGTCTTTGTTCCAAGTGTCTCAACAAACTGCTGTCCTGTTCCTGCCACAGATCTTAGAGATCTGAGGTACAAGCCCAACTTTAACTCTCTTACCTATTGAAAGCAACAGAAAACAATATCATCAAATAGGTGCAAAGACTATTAAAAAAAAAAAAAAAAAATCAGCTCAACAGCATAGAATGGCTTCCATTTGTCTGAAGAAATTAATTACGAGGGAGCAGACCAGTAGAACTTGAAAGGATTTTCAGAAGGAGGAGGAAAGGGAATTACTTAGGAAAGGTAACATAAGGATGAGCACCTGCAATGAATTAAAAATGCAGTAGCAATTCTCCTTACAATTCACTGGAAAGGATAGCAATGATGGATAAAAAAAAGGGATCTTCTTGGTGACTATTCAAATGCCAAGAGAACAGGAAATTAAGCAGAAGTATTTCAATTATGCATGAATTCAAGTAGATCTGAGCAATTTTGAACTGCACCAGATAGCTTGAATGTGAACACATGTAGCGCTTTTATATACTTTATTAAAGGCTAAAACCTTTTCTGTTTTGTTTTGTTTTTTTTTCAACGCAGGTCAATTGATGGTTTTGTTTATTTTAAACCTCATTCCCAATTTCCTATAGTTTTTTACTTGTCTTCATCTCCTGTATTTACATACTTCATATTGCAGACTGTACAAGACAGAAACTGCACCCATTTTAGCATCCCTGGTGTACCTTCCAAAGATAAGGCATTTTACTCATGTCACACAACAATTCACAAAAACCAAATGCTGTTCACGTGTAACTGAATTAAAAATACCATCCTATTTTCATTTGCCCTGAAAAACATTTTCTAACCATATATATGGCATTAGACTTACTCAGTGTATTTTGCACTTCACACTTTGTAGATTTCATATACTAAAAAAAAATTTATCAGAGTTGACCATGGTACTCAACTTGAGCAATCAATAACTCAACTGCTAATCAAGTTGTACCACATAAAGATGGCAGTGATTTACCAAGGCATGTTGTGACTCAGAAACCTGTCTAAGCTTCATAATTTTTCCTCAGACTATTGAAAACACTGACAAAAAAAAAATGATACACCAGTGACACTTTGCCAATACACTCCAGAGAATAAGCTTCCTAGGAGCACAGAAAGCAAAGAAACAGCTCCTCTTGAAACAGAAAATCATGAATTACTGGGCTAAACAGAAATACGTTAAAGTGTTGAATTGTTAAAATTAAAAAGCATTAAAATTTATTGGTAGCCTGTATTACCATTCAAAGACACGTTCTCCACTGAGACACTGAAATGCAGACATACACTCCTGTGTAAAGCAAAATGCCCAGAAAACAACATATTATTGACATCATGTGGAGTTGCTAGAAGTGAGCAGCAACAGCAGTTAAAAGCAATTTACTCTTAAACTGTAAACTGTAGCACACAGTGCAGAAGGACTGTGTAATGGTTGAATAGTTAACAAGGTAATGATACAAACACAACTCATCTACAGGAGAAAACTCTGTGTGAACACATCACAAAACTGAATGAGAGACTGAAGTCCACTGCTTAAGGATCCAAGTTCCCACACACTAGCTGATTCTGTTGCTCACCTCTGTGGACTTATAGTTGGGTCAAGGACAGCCAGCCTCCAAAGAACCACCATCTCATCACACATACTTGCACAGGCATGAGCAGCTACTTCTGACTGCCCATTGCTACGTCCTGTGTGCCCGCTAGCACTGCTGTGTGACGCAGATGTCCGCACACTGTACCACCAGCCGGTTATCTGCAGGAGAAAATGTTCAGTGGAGCATTGTTGTGGCTAACATCCCCGCTCTCATCTAACTTCATATCCACAACAAAAAAGCAGCTCTAGTTAGTACCGTGTTTTCATGACTCCAAAATAACTACGAGCATTAAAGCAGCATTGCTTCATAAGAACCTCTCAATTTGTATTTACTTTTGTTTAGAAGGCACATATCTGCAGAACAAAGCACTCACAAGATGCTCTCTTGCTAAAGGCCTTCACATCTGGAGGAAAAAAAGTGAACAAACGTGATAAATGAAGTATTTTCTTTTCCCTGCTAGAAGCCGAGGCATGTGATGCATAATAAGGAAACCTGCACTGTTGTTTTTTTTATGTTACAAAGTATCACAAACTGTAAAAGGACACCTTTTTCCTTATATTAATAAAAAATATATCAAAAAATTCATGACTCAAACACATCAAAACCAAAGAATATGAGATTTTACTGCCCAACACATTTCTTTACGTTTTGTCAAAATGACAGTTCATATGTGAAGTACTTTGTTTAGAAAAAAATCATTACAATAATTCATCTTGACTAGCCAGAAAGCAAATCAAACGTACTGAACAAAGTAGTGCAGACTCCATATATTCCAACTTAAAAGGTTGAGGTATTTTGGGGATATAGCGTTGCTGAAAGAACACTGAATCATCACAGGAGCAAAGGATAACAAATTTAGAGTGGAGAAGCAAAAGTTACTCAGAGATAAATTCTACAGGTACATGAGGATCAGTCATTGATTCAGCTTCATTCTCTGGAATTTCTCCCTCCAAGGCAAGGGTGCTCAGGTACCTGCTCATAGTTCAGACACTGGTCAGTCAGAATCTCCAGCAAAGGAGCAGCATTGCTGTCCCGTCTCTTAAACATCTCCCGCACAATAGAAAGTAGGTTCCAGATTCCCTCAGGCTCTCTCCCTCGCAGGGGACGCAGAAGACAGGCCCACTCAGCAGCAGCCGGAGGCTCCGTGGAAGAGAGATACATGGAATTCACATCACTGTAGATAAAACAGAAGCACAGGGTTAAAAAAAAAAGAAAAAAAAAAAGAGGCAAGCACAGCTACCCAAAATCCTGAGATCCTGAGTATATTCAATATCCAGAAGCATGTTTGCACCCTAGATGGGACAGCTATGCTTAACTTATAAGAGGAGACATATGATGAGACTGACACCACCACACAAGTAAGGTATCGTGCAAATACAGTGTGCTCCACCACAGCAACATTGGACAGGCTACACAAAAATACTATTTCCTCAAAACTAGGCATCTTTTATACCATAGCACCATGGAAGGGTATACACCAAACAGTGAATAAATTTACAGATTACAGCAACATTTCTTTTTCTCTTCAGGAAAAGATCATTTACCTGAAAACAACAGGAGAGGGCCCACAGAATTTATGAAGGGTTTTCTTTATGTTGTCACTCAGGGTAGATTCATCTAGGTACCAGGTGCTTTGATCTGATGCAGAGGGTCCAGCAGTGGGATCTTGACACAAGAACACATACACAGGTTTTGAAGGGATTTTTCTCTGTGTGCCCAACCACAGGGATTATAGGGAGCACAAAGCAGTGTTACTCAGTTTATTTCACCCATTGCAGAACTATCTCAAAATATTATACTTACCTGAATAACTGGCAATGTTCAATTGGGAGACAACTGGCATGCTGAAACAGCAGCACTAGCCAGGTGGATTGGGAGAAACATAGAGATAATGCCAACAGAAATCAACTGATTTCTTTGAGAGAAATATATGGACTTCTGCACTTGGGATAGAAAACCCCATGCACCAATATAGACTGAAAGTCAAATTGCTGACTAGTTTAGTGATTACAATAGGCACCAAGCTGAACATAAACCAGATAGGATTATAGCAGAGGGATACAGAGGCACAGAACACTGACCTAAGAGGAGAGACTGAGGAAGCTGGGCTCGTTCTGACTAAGAAGAAGAGGTTGAGGGGTGATCATCAACAGCCTACAGATACTTGGAGTCAGAGATAAACACTTATTCGTAGGTCAAGATAACAAAAATAATAAAAAATGGAGTATTCATACTGAATATTAGGAAAATTCTGGACCAGAAGGGTAATGCAGCATAAAAACAGGAATATACTATAACTTCTCTGATAACCAAGACATAGCTAAGCTAGCCCAAGCCACAGCTAACTCATTAGAGTGTTACCAATAATCAACCTTCTACTCGAAAGGAGAGATTCATTCCAACTAACACTTCCTGGAACTAATGTAGTTAAATAGAAAAATCTTCTGTCAGAAAAGTGCATTGTCTGATGCTGTCTCTCTCTGAATTTACTCCAAGGAGTGCATTACAGCAACAGTTTCCTGCAGCTGCACTACATGCTTGCTTGTACTTAACACTTTTCCCTGACCTTCACTTCCAATCCCAGACACTCAGTAACCTATCAGTTCAGAAACTCAAGGAATAGAAACGTATCCGTTTTCTGTCTTTAACACAGATTACTGAAATAACATATATCAAGGTTACCTGGGGCTCCACACACTGTGTTGATTGCAGTTGACTGAGAAGATAACAGCTCATCCAGCAAACGCTGAGCAGTTGGAAGAATCTGCAAACATGAAGGAAACTTTCAGTATAAACAGTCTTTCTTACCCTAATATAAACAGCCAAAGATCTGCCTGGACTTTCCTAAAGGACTCACAATATTTGAGGTATCAAATAGTCATCTTTTCAGAAAGGACGGTAGAGGGTGCTAAAGGTTATACAACAGCAAAGTAGTTGTTACACTTCCCTCTCCTTTCTCAGAGCAAACATACCATTCAAAGCTTACTTCCTATATCCACACTCTAAGAAAGAATCATAGGCTATCAGCTGTTTTCTCATTTCTTGAGAAGACAGAGCAATGCTACAGCTAATGTTGTGAGGTATGGAAGTGAACATAGTCAATGTCACCACTTTCTTCCACTTTTAAATGTTCTGCATTTCTTGTTCATTTCTCTTAAAACCAAGCTGAAGGGAACAGAGGTGCAAACTATAAGTTACATTTATACATAACTTTTCAGGAAGACCTTAGCTCATTTACCATGCTTTTCACAGAGAGACCATATATATTTTAACCTAGTCAGCAGTAAACTAATGCAATGTCAGCACTAAATGAATGCAGTCATAGATTCTAGTCAGTTCAGTGTGTAAGCAGAGAAGGCTCGCAGCTGACTGTGCAGACCTGAGTAGACATACCCTTAAGGTGGCCTTTCTGAAGGAAACAAAAATGCATAGCAGAAAACTGTTATTCCCTTATTTCAATCCAAGTCTGGGCTGGGAACTTAGATCCACTTAGTCCTTGGTGCACTTGGAACAGTTTAGGAAGTTAGGATTTAAATGACTTGCAGCAGAAAGTCTGATATTTCCTCACCTCTCTCCATACAACAGCTGTGGACATTTCACATTTCTACAAAACAAAATCATGTGAATGGTCTACACTAATCTTGCAACAATTAGTCAAGATTTAGTCCCAGTATATCAAAGTATTTCCATTCAGAAATACCAGAGACCAACAATGAGACCACTAGAAGAGTTTGGGCCATGCTTTTCCTTTTTCAAGGGAATTACATAACAAAGATTAAGGTGTATCTGCCAAGAAAACCTAAACTTTTCTGTTGTGCAGTGCTGTTTCAGACTATCTGGCACAGTAGTAATAATTAAATTGTCCAGATGCATGGATGCACAGGTAGTACACATGAAAGGAAAAATAAACCCTGCAAGAAGCAGCAGACAGAATATATGAAAGCATTATATCAAGCAGCTCACATGCTACCCAGGAAACTAGTTGTACCACTATCAACTTTTTAAAGCTCTCCTTTATTAATCAGACTAGCCACATAAAGCTGTGAGACCTTAAGCAGGGAAGAGAAGCTGTCTTTCATTTAAAACAAGCAGCATACAGTATTGATGCTCAACTCTCAGCATCAAAAAAGGTGGTTTAGTTTAGTTGCTGTTTTGTTTTGGTTTTTTTTTAATATGATTTATTCATTTCCTAAGAAGATTAATATTTCTGAAGGAAATTTAGAGGCTGATTTATCAATAGAACATCTTAGCGTCCCAAGCATACTATCGTAATACGTCAGTACATGCTGACAGTAACACAAGTCTTAGACATAATGCACACAATATTGAAATGAGACAAACTCATGCAGGGCAGTGTTTCTCAACCCTCTTCGGTTGAACAAGCATTAAATGTTGCCAAGCCCTTGTATTTTTTAATTTTCACGCAAACTTTTCACTTAGGTACATTGGCACAATACATGTGACTATCAGAAATGACCTGATCTTTAACTACTCTATTATTTAAAGAATAATAGAGCATATTTTGCCTTTAACTAAAAACATGTAACGTCTGTTACTTCCCACAACCCAAATGATTCTTGCAAGATCACCAAGAGACTGCACTGGGGGAAGTTAAAAGGTCACCACTTGGGTGCATTAGAAAGTAGCTACCTAGAGCATATAAAACACATCCCCCTTAAATAGTCTTATCCATTTAATCAACCAAAAAGCACAAAAAAAGAAATGACTTATTCTCACCAAACTTTTTCACCACCCTGTAGTTATTTTACTGTGTTTGAACTTTACCTCCTCAAGCTAATATACTTCTCTTTCTTCTTTTAAAGACACTTCTAATCTTTCACTCAGCAGCAGACAATTGTCAAATAATAGAATAACAAGCTTGAAAAGAACAAGAACTAAAAGCCTTCCCAGCAACTTACAAGCACATAGAAAAACCAGTCATCTTGTAACAAAAGACATCACATACATTCATCCAAAATATCAGCAAGTGAATTTAACAAGAAGTCAGTCCTATTGATTGTCCCCATTTACCTGTTGTGGAAGTTCACTGATTAGGTACTGAGCAAATTTTTGCAATTGGTCTCTTTGTAGCCGAGACAAGGACTCAGAAACAGGTGCTCGTAAACATACCGCAGATGCCTGGATAAAGAAGAGGATATATAAATTGCCATCTACAGATCAGGCATAATGAAGTGCCCATTAACTGGACAAAGTGTCATGAACAGTAGCTATGCTGATGCATATCATGCTTGGTCTTTTCACATCATTAAATAGGGCACTGCCGGTAAGATGCAAATAAGCTGTCTATGTTTTAGCAAAACTGTTTTTAAGAGTTTCTTGTCAAAGAAACTGCCTTAGCAGCTGTGCTTAAGATCTGTTGTTTCTAGCAATTGCACAAATACTGGCAGGGATTTTGCAAACAGACCTCTAAAATGGGACATAATTCTTCAAGCCTCTGGCAAAGCAACCAGCTCTGTGGGGGGCCATGTCACAGACTCATTTATCTCACTACAGATTTTTTTTTCTCCTTAAAACCAGCCCCTTCCCATATCTTCAAATAACAAATCATAAAATAAATATCAGTTCAACTTTGTTCACTACATGGAATAAGAAGTACCAAATGGAATCCAACTAAAATTTAACCTGGAAGCAGGAAAATGCACTTTGATAATAAGGATGCTTCTGATATCAATTTATCAGCAACAATATCCCTTGGCTTGTAATCTGCTACTCAGCAGCTAATACACACAAATTTGAAAATGCTTTCGCTGTTACCTTTCAGGTAGAGGAAAGGACTAGGCGGAAAGTGGTCATTTTTATCTTACACAGGGTTCAAATTTTGAGAGTAAATGCTGTTACTGAAAATTCTGAGTTTCAATATCCACTTTTAAAAATGAAGCTATCTTGAAGCAGAACTTTTTTTTTTTTTTTTTTTCAACTTTCCTGCCTTAAGTACAAAAAGTAAATTGATCTTCCAGTGATTACACCTAGGGATGAATTTAAGCCTATTACAATTGCTCACTGTGAATTGTTATCAAGCTTCATCAGGTTATTAGCACTCATTTAAAGACACTAGAGTTGATCATAACCATGTTAGCTATAAAATATTCTGAAACAGCAGAAAACCTTCAGTTTATTTCAGTCATCCACACTTTATCCTCCCTTAAAATAAATTTCTCATTGCATCATAAAGACTGAAGAAATAAACAGCTAGCTAAGTCTGAACTCCCAGCTTGTATATTGCATGTTGATTGTACCTCTTTTCACCTGAAATCTTTGGAACAAGAAATACCTACTTTCTCCTTTATACAAGGCCATGCAGAATGCTAGCAGTCAAGTAAAATTATTAACATATTGAATGTTTGAAATCTAAAGGTCAAAAATGACACTTGTCTGTCTCAGTATGAGTTAAAATGAAAATGAATGGGTGAACATAAAGGCCAGCAAGGATCAAAATTACTTTCCTTCTGCACTGTCAGTGATCCTACAACCAAGACTTTTAATAAAAGATGAACCATTGATAATCTTCCACTCCTTGCAGAACTGAGAAAGAATGAATAACTTTAGCATTTATACAAGTAACAGGAAGGGCCCAAAACCAACTTCTCTACTCTGAGCAATTTGCACATTATCAAAGGACATTCTGCAGCTTACAGTTTCAGTCAACTCACACTGCAGGCTGCAACTATGAGTGCACAATCTGTAACGCAAAGGAGTGCCAAGAACAATTTCCCTAAATAGTGCTCATGTTGCATAAAATTGTAATGACAAGAGTCTCAGAGAAGAGGATGCTGGGGGAAAGCAGAAGTGTATTTAAAGGCCTACGTTGTGTATCCGGAAGAGACAGAGCGCCACGACGTGAGCACACCACTTGGCCCCAGCACCACAGGTACAACTGCACGATGTGATCCTGCATCGGTCAAACATCACTGCCACGTTGTATGCACCTTTGGGAGACATCATCTGCGGGGGTACCACAGTGGCACTCAGATGGAAACCTGTTAAAATTCAAAAGTCCAAAGTTACTATTGTGATGCCTGGGAGACAGATTCAGATAGCATAAAAATTAAACTATGTGCCATTTAAACAGCAAAATAATATGTCTAGCAACAACACCTACACTGGGATGGGCATCAGTTTAGAGTCTCTAGCACTTATTTCTTCCCAATAAATTATGGTACAGTATTAGCAAAGAGGCATAAGACACTGTAAAAGGTTAAAAGAAACCAAACAGATTTTAATATATTTATTCACACTTTACACAGAAAAGCAGGACTGGATAGAGTCACTGCTGAAAAGCATGGCTTTTTGATCACAGGGTCATAGTTAGGCTATACATACTTCAGGCATGACCTCTGTGTTAATTAACTGCAGCAACAGTGCAGAACAGGTTAGGTGACTTCTTGAGCATTACTTCCAACTCTGCCAATTTTCACAATTTTGTAGGGCACTAAAGAAGGCAGCACTTGTGCTTCAACACTTACTATTAACTTGTGCCTTCAAAAGTTACTAATTTCTCTTAAATCACATACCTACTTACACTGTTGCAAAAATCCTATTTTTGTAAACCAGGTACTCAGAAAACAAAAAAAAAAATCCTACTTGTTTAGACTAAAATAGATGGAAAAGAAGAAAAAATTCAAAAACAACACTTAAAAGAATCCAGCCCCACTACTCAGAGAAAAAATACATAAATTATAAATCTAATTTCAGGCAGAATAACAAAACACTTCAACAAGACTTGGCTTTATGTAATCTCATATGCCATGCATCCCAGTTGTACATGCAATGAGTCTTCCTCTACAGCCAAGGGTTGTCCAAAGGCGCACACATTACAAGCAGGAAAAGGCCATCAGAAACATGAATCTTCTGTTTGTCTTTAAGGTTCCAATCACCAGTAAATCATCTTCCACAGCAACGAGTGTCAGCCTCAGACCCTTTTTGCCAGTCTCAAATTCAGTTTTAAAGCAGTAACAGAAAACACAAAAGGTATCAACGTCATAACCAAAATTCAGTCCAACAATTACCTTAAGTGAAAAAATACAGCTTGTGATAGACGACTAAAAATTTCCCCCTCATCAGCACAGGCAAACACATTACAAATTCACACTACTAAGCTTTTATTATGATATTGTGAGGTTATAAAGATGGCTTTTGGAGTGCATATGACCTACTAAATTCCATCTTAAACAATGTGCAGTATTCCTTCCTCAAACTACAATCCCATGCCAGTGCAAACTTACCTTACTTAACCTTTCTATTTTTCCTGCTCACCAGAATTCAAATCCTCTTCCTGATGCGGGTGATTATTTTGATTAGTACACATAATGCCCCCCGAGTTCTTTGGCCATTTTAGCAATTGGAACAGAATCAAAACAAAAGAAGGCATTCACCACAAAATTGCTGTGCAGCTTATTACTACCTACAGTTTTAATCTATATTCCACACTTGGATAACATAACTGAAACAGTTCAGCTAGTCCTTCTAGTATGTTGGAAGCACCTCAGACTAATGCCAACATGCCCTAATTTTCACAAAAATAAATTAAGCACTTCACAAACTGCAAGTGTGGCAATTCTATAGCACTGAGAAAAACAAGTATTCTAAAGGTGCTAGAGAAGAACAGGTCACAGCTATGCACTCTTTTCAAGCTCCTACCATGAACATTTTATTTGCATATGAAGACAGCTAACTCATCAAATGCAAAGGGGGAAGAACTGCTATAAAGAAAAAAAAAACCTTAAGGGCTTCAGCATGACATCACAGCTTCAATACAATTTGTAGCTGGATGAATGTCTGCCCCTGAAACTGCTAATTCAAGCAGACCTGCCTTGATTCTTTTGCCCTGCCAACCTTGCTGTAATGAACAACCACATGTGGAATGGCACAGGAAACCACACAAGGGAAAATACCTGGGATCTATGAATGACTACCACAAATACCAGGACAAATACCACAATTCAGTTCTCACTGCACAGCTAATCAAAGTCTGAACCTGCAGAGACGGAGAAGGTGACAGTAAGGGGGACCATTCTGGACCTCTTAGCCCAGTGCTAAATGAAATGGTCATCAAAGAGCACTCATTTACAGCCTAGCTGCAACTATTTTCTCACTGGCTGACCACAGCCCTAATCTACCTGCTTGAACGTGTGGACAAGAGCCGTGCCTACTGCACATCTGAGTGATTCAGGTACCTCATGGAGATCACAGGAGCGTTCTTCCCTTACATCCACCCCCTGCTCTCACTACCTGATAACAGCCTATCTGCTTCTCACAAAGCAGTACTTTACAAAAAAAACCACTTATGCATCAGCAGTATTAAGTTTGCCACTGTATGCAGTGTACCAAAAAAACTAAGATGTACGTATTCTATTCTTGGCAAGCTCCACTCCCACGAGGCCTCAAGAATGGGCTGCAAACCAGAAGAATTGCTCTGTCAGGACCCTCACTCCACATGCCACCATTTTTCTTAAATGCTCTGTGCAGACCTAGTTTAGTGATTCTGTGAAAATATTCAGGCTTTCTACACAGAGAGAGTGATCTTCTCACAAGCACCAGATTTACTTCTTACACACAGAACAAATTTGTCAAGCAGCCAGTAGCAATGCTTCAGAGGATGTTTGGCGCACGAACACTACCAGGAGCAATCTACATCATGCAGTGGTAGCACTACATTGTCCAGTGTGATACTCAATTAATACATGTGGTTTTATCGAACAGAAAATCAGGGAGTAAGCAACTGCTGCATGGATTGGGTCTCACAAAACAGAGATGTTTTGTTTTTTGGTCCACAAGCCATCATTCTCACTACTCTGCCCCTAAGCCTTAATCTTTCAGGAAAAACATCCAAAAGAAATGTATGCTTCCCACTGGATATAACCCAGTTTTCAGAATTTTAGGATAACCATGATGGCTATGTCAATGTCTCTTGCACTTATATTTATTTTTAAAATGAAAATCATTTATTGACAAATTTGAAGTTTGTTTTTCTGGGTTCTATTAGTCCTCGTGATTTCAGGTGGAAATGCACAAATTTGAAACACTCCAAGCCACTCAGTAAGCAATTAGAATTGATCAGTTTAAGCCATCTATGAATTAACCCCACCCTCCTAAGAATACTACTTGTAATACAGTTTCCAGGATTTCTTTGCTGATATTTGATTGTTCTGATGCCTCTATAAAAATGGTAGCAAACATGCTCTATTATTCTGCATGGAATTTAATAACTTTTCCTCCAGGTTTCTTAGGACTAACAGAAATTGAAAAACAATAGCTGAACAAAGACCTTTAGATAGGAACTAATGCAAGGCAATTCTGGATTTTTTTTTCTTTTTAAACCAAGTTAGAGGAAACCTTAAGAAGCAGAGACTTGATGACTCTGCTTGAGATGTAAGAATCAAGATTAAATCTACTGCTGTCTTCCTCATTAACAAGAATGAAATAGAAAGTAAATCCCTGAAATTAGCAACTACAACATACCTACTTGTGAACATCAATAACTTCTTCAGGTGCAAGGAGGCAGGCAGATGACTGCTACAAAAAGAATGTGGGAGAGAAGGCCTACAAAAGCCCATTATTTGTGTATATACAGTACAACACTCTGAAGAAGCAGGTTTGTGGAATGTAGTGAAGAAGTGCTATTGTCCAGAAATTATGGATGTGGATTTGCATGTGGGCAAGATGACCACAATTACTCATTTGCCTTGGAAGAGGAAAAATATAAGCCTTATAACAGACAGCCCTGCAAAGAAATGGGACAGAAGAGCACAAAAGCACTGTTCAACCTTTGTCCTGTCACAATATCACACTACACTGCTCACTCTTCCTCAAAATTAAATATGCTCTCAAAAAGTTGCTTCATTTCTTACATTTATTTTCACGTTTGTCAATACATGAAACTTGAAACTGCAGCCACACACTTTAAAATCATTAACAGCAATGAACTGAACTTACATCCACCCACTGCCCTTCTTCTGGGCTGCTATTCATGGGAAAAAAAAAAAAATCTTTCCACTAGATAAATGTTTCTCTGCTAAGGAGGAAACAACATTACTGTTTAAACAAAGTTCCTTCCTTCCCTTCCAAACACAAAATCCTTTGTCAAGAAGCCCAGTTGCTGTACGTGTACTGGAGAAGTTTCTCCCTGGTGTTGTACACCACCTCCTCTTCCTTCCCTCCTCCCCTAAGCATAGGTTTTGAACTAACACCCCCAGACTTTGTTAATTTACATTTTTCCACACCTCCCTGTCTTTTTAATTTATTACTGAAACAAGTTTTGACAACAGTGTAAGCACAGTGTATTAAATTTTTTATGTTCTTTTCCACTGTTAAAGTTGCAAGAACTATTGAATTTCAGCAAGTTTCATTTTAACTCATTTTCTTCTCTCTCAAATGTTTTCCTGCCTGAATTTCAGCCTTAGAGGTCTCTTACAGCATCACAATCCTGACATTAGCAGATTACGTATGCACTCAAAATTCAGTTCTAGCTTGATTTTGTTGATGACCCTAAATTATTGCCTGGTCTCACTAACAACTCAATATACCTTATCTATGAGGAAGCACTTCTATTTCCAATAATTCCTACTATTATCATTACAGCAGATAACAGTCTAGATAAAACCGTTCTGCACCCTTTACCTCATATTCAGAAAATAGTTTATAAATGTCTTTCAATTTACATGACCGTCTTCTCCCTCAACATTCACAGCATGAGTTCCTTTTCTATTCCTTACTAAATTTATTCATTCAGTTGATCACCAACAGTTAGGCATTGCCAGTATCAGAGACTGAACAGGCTCATAGAACTCCCCATCCCTCAGCTCACAAAAATATAGGGACTTCCTTCCTTAATGTCATATATCCATTTATATCATCATAGTTCCCACATGCTGATCAATAAACTAATTCTGAAGTTTATACTTGCAGAAAAAAATAATGTCTGCATTGAATTGATGTGATCCACCTTGACACACACCAGTGTCTTTATTTCACACAATTCCTTCCTATCTAACAGCTGTCACTGGAAAAGATAACTCAATATTTTTCCTTACTTAAAACAATTTCATGAAAAATCCAGAGTCCAGTTTCTTTAAGATCAGTTTTCAAAACCATAAATGTTAAAATAACAAGGTAAGTGAGGATGAAACTCACTGTCTAGCAACAGAAATTTCCTTCTGCCTTAATACTACCAAAGTACCCGTATTATAAATATAACTATTTTGCTATAAGGATAACATTTAAGCCTGTAAACTTCATCTCTGCCATAAAAACACTTTAGGTGAGGCATTAATTGGATCAGTCCAATAGAAAGCCAATTTCTCTTTATTAATGAGGAGTTTAAGCATTATGGAGACAAAAGCATTCTATAAAGTTTTCCAAAATGTTGAGACAGAGTAAGGGTCTAATTTGCAGAACTAATCTGGCTTTTCACTCAATTTCACAGCTGAGCTGACAAAGGCTGAAATAAACACAACATTTAGCTTAAGACATTACACAAAACACGCATAACATGGAGTTTAATCTAGGATACAGAAAAACTAGTTTTAAGACATAGTTTCGGGAAGTTAAATGAAATCTAGAGACATGGAGCTGCAGAGTTCTTACCTATCTGGAGAGGGTCTTTGACTGCCCTCACTCGGAACAGCTGCTCCCCTCTCTGGAACTCATCTGCACTGCCATTAGCCAAACAAGAATATAGTCTGTAAGTGAAAAACATAATAAATCAAGATGAGAAGTTTCTGAGAAACTTCACATCGTTATCATTTGAAATACAAAATCACTTACAACCTAAAATCACTTACATTCCAACATCAGCATGTCACAGTAAGACCTCCTTGTACTTCTAGTCCAGTTGCTCACATGGTCATGTGAGATTTTTTACATCTGTGCTCATCAGACTAACGAGCATGTACGACCAACAGCTGAAGTGCTCTGTTCCATCACAGGTGATCTTTATAACTGTATCAGCACTTCTAACACAAACTCTCCAACCCAATACTAAAATGTTAGATGAAAACATTTAAGAATTGTCAGGATGATTATTTCCAAAAGACTATAAATACCACTACTATCCTACAAAATTCCAGATGCATGGTTGCATTGGTAGGCAACCTACAGAAAAAAAGCTTCAGACAAAAAACATTTGTAGAAGATCTAACAGCACTGAGGTTCTGATTATGCACTCAATCAATTAATGGGGAAACATACAAAATAGTTATTTCCCTGGCTGTATCTACTCTGAGTACTCAGCAAATTCTGATTCTCCTACTTACACAAATAAAAAATTTGCAAAGTATTCTGAGTGCGCCCTCCCCAATAATTTCAGAGCTCAGCTAAGTTCTGATGGAAGCAACAGATTCAAACTGGACAGAACTCTACATAAGATTTACGAAAGGATAAAAGTCTACAAATAGGTTACATAGTCAAGCAAACTAAGGCAAGCATTTATCCTGTTCCAGTTACACACAGAACCTGCACAGAGGTTCTTCCTGGGATGCAAGCAGGGCAGCTGAACCCATAATAAGAATCCATACATCTCCTACAGTAACCCATCCATATATTACAAAGTCCACATACCAACAGCAGGAGCAGCCAATATACAGGACATTACATGGGCAGTGATTGTTCTCTTGTGAACAGAACTTTCCCTTAAGCATCAATGAGCAGAAATAGTAAGCATTACCTAATATCTTCCTCATTTTCAGGGAAACTCCAGAAGGCAATCCGAAGCTGTAGTTGCTCAGGAACTGGAGGATAAACTTTTTCCACGACCTCAAATGGAATGTGAAATGCAACCTGTTTTGCAGACAGTTCCACCAATGGGATCACCAGCCCATCTGGCAAGACAAGAAATAAAATGCAATTAGCCACTGAGGGAACTAAACAGAGGAGAGGCAAATGGCATTAGAGCAGAGAGCACTTCCCCACCTAACTCGTCAAATTCAAAGACCTATTTTGATACTACAGTGAAAGTCAGCACAGAAATTTTCTATAAAATTGACTACTTGCCAACTTTACGTTTGTTTTCAGCCCCACACATTCATTAGGCAGCATTCCCTTCTCACAGATCAGCAGTCTTTTACTGTCTTTTACAGGATTATTTCTCCATCACCAGTGATTTTTTTTCTACATTATAGATGGAGCTTATCTTTTACTGTGCCATATTCCCATCCACAAATGTGAGGGCGCAGATTGTAAAATGTACAGTGATGGTTAAGTTAGTAATCCCTTTCTTTACTACAAGCTGATACACAAGATTTTAGGGGAAAGTCATCTTATTTCCCCTTCTGACAGCCAGCATAGCTAAGTAAAGAAAATTACTATTGTTAATTAGTGCAGCAGTCAGCTTAAATGTCACTGCTGTTACTACAGTAGTAGATACCATAGAAAGTGCAAACCGAGGTACATTAGTACTCAAAATTGCTCTGATCAATGAAAGGAACAGTATTTCTTGGGGTTTTTTACTGCAGTTTTTGTAGAGGCACTTTATCCAAGTCTTTCATTACACAACATTAGAAGAAAAAAAAAAAGAAATAATACTTAAGTAATCTCTACCCTTAAAGGTACAATATCTGAAAAAGACTTTAGTGTGAGATGAAACACCTGTGCATTTTTAAAGAGAATGCAAGCAGATAGTATTTCTTCTCACAACTATGTGGTGTGGGGTAGGAAGGTCAGACAGAAATAGCAAAGCCACACTGGGTTGACAGAAAAGCAGCAAAGGCAAAAGCAATCCATTATTCCATTAGTTTGTCTTATTATTACATATATTTTTCTTTACAGTTGCAATGGACTAGGACTCCTACAATCAATTACCAGAATTCAACAGTACTAGCAGAGCAGCAGATCACTGCAATTACCCTCCACCTACTTCATTACACAGCACAGCTGTTCTCCTTCAAGCCTAACCAAACTAGCTCAAGAAAAACCCTATGACACAAATCCACCAAAAGTATATCAAAGTCAGCCCTACTTGAGAAGCCTTTTGGATTCACTCTGTTAGGAAGGCTCCAGTGCACTCATTCTGAGATTTTACCAGATTTGCAGTGAACTAAGGTAACTGAGTGACTTCATATTGAACTCAGTTTCATCAGCTGTACTGCGTTAATAGTAGCCTGCAGGAGCCAGCAGCCAATTAACTGGAACAGCTGTCTTCAGCATGCACTCAGCACATAACTTAGATATTCTCAGAATAAGGTGAAAGTGGTAACATCTGAAGTGGAAAAAATAATCTAAAAAGCAATAATCTTATCTATAAAACAATGGATTTCTCTAAAATGTTTAATTTTCTAGATGGAAAAAGAGCCGTGGAAAAGAAATGGTAGAAGATAACTGAGAAGTAGAAATTATTCGGATGATATTTAAAGGATGAATGAATTCATAGTAGCCAAGCTGCTATGTAACGTAAACACTAAAATTAAGAACTTAAACTGCCTTAAATTTCAAGGGTGGTGTGTCATGTGCAGCCACAGTGACAGAGACACTAAACCTGCATGGGATTCAGAACAGAAGGACTTCCCCATTAGGCCTTCTGTACATTCAGTTGGACACCCTGAGTTAAGTGCTTAAATTAGACAATATTTTTCTTTGAATACTAAACAAAGAGATCCTCTCCAAAAGTTTCTCTCTAGATATACAAATCCACTACTGGGGGATTTATACTTGCTTACATCAAAAGGTATTATCAGTGAAACACATGAAAGGTACTCCCAGATACTACAAAATACACTTTGAGAAAAAACAAAAAGGAAAAGTGCTAATAGAGAAAAGGAAAAGACATTGTAGCTTCCACTCTGTGCAAAGATAAAGACAGCAAGGAAGACTGCAAAAAAATAATAATAAAAAAAATACAGCAATAAAATCAAAGATATAATAGAATATCAATGAATCTGCAAGGTACATTTATCTGAGGGAGAAAATAATTTTAAACTGTGCTTCCGCTTGAGCAGCAGACAAGATAATCCAAAGAGAGCAAAGGAAACTCCTCATGTCTTCCAAGAATAAAATTACAGGCAAAGCATAAGCAACCCCAACATTTCTGACCTACACGAAACCCAAATCCCAGGTCTAGAAGGGAATCTGAGAGATAATCTGATCTGTACACTCTACTAGCAGGCACGACCAAGAACTTCTCAAGCATTCGGAATAAATCGTGTCCCATCCATCTACTGCTATGTGGAACACGCTAACTCCTACATGAGGACCATCCTACCCTTTTTGTTATTGTTTCACGTGAATTGATTTTATTGCAGTTTTACAATAGCTATAACTTTAGCACAGACGCAGTTATTCCTGCAGGAACAACAGCAACAACAAGAAACCCAACCCAGCTCCAAACAGCTAAGGCAAGCTACGCACACAGAAACATGCCTTCACCAGTGGAAGCAAATTCCGTGCCATCAGGGCTTGGAATTGACATGGGTGTGCTATATTTCTTAATCTTTCCTAGCACAGGGTAGGCTGTAGCAAGTTGTAGCCAACAATTGTTCATAAAAACAGATCATGTTCCAATAAATTCTTCAGCACAATAACAGAGTTTTCATGATAGACGAAGAGAGAGAGAAGACTCTGCTTGAATAAGCAGCAAAATAGGGGCCAGGAGTTATTAAATGGAACTGAAATAAATCCAGCTGGACCAAACACTGAATATATTTGTTATCTAATGACATTATTCCTATTAGGTTAGTTTCAGTTGACACACGTCCCTAAAAATAAACTATATGCTCAATAGATATGAACAAATACAAATTCAAGGGAACAAATCTCACAGTATGAGATAAGACAGTGCAAAGATAAGATTCATTGTATTTTATATATACATATATACCTTAAGGAAAATAGGTTGATGCTTTTTAGCAGAACAAGTAAACCATACAGTAAGACATCTTAGACTGCACTATCTTTTGAGAGATGTGTCTCCAGCTTTGATTTTATAGCTATCTCTAGTCCACATCTCACATTTCCCCTCACCTCTACCACTGGCCTCAGTCCAAAACGCATCAGAGTGGAACAAAAGTAATACAACTATAGATAGACCAAGGAGATGGGGAATATGAAGTGAAACACTTCTGCTATTAGAAGAGAAAATGAGATCAGTAAAACTAACAAGAAATATGTAGCACGTCATCTTGACCAGTGAAAATGTATGCAGGGGTGTTATAAAGCCTGTTTTACCAATCTCATTTAAAAAATGGTATACACTACGTTACTTTTGGCAGAGTTTGCCATGTAGAAAGATAAATCTGTCCTTGTGGAATGTCACTTAAGCATTTAATTAAAATAAATCAAGCAGAAATATATATCAGTAAGTGCCCCAAACTTAAGGCAGTGACATATTTTCTCCCTAATACCTCTTGAAACCAAAAAGTGCTGTGAGTTCTCAAATATGGAAGAGCAATGCATGGAACTATAACATACTTAAATCAAACCTCTTAAAAATGGTCGTCATCTTGTCGTCTTCTGTACATTTCTGCTGTTGGTTCTGTTTTAGTCTCCCTTTATTTACCTTTCCAAAAATTTAATCTCAACGTTGATGTCTTGAAGAAGTATGTATTGGTGCAATACGTTCCTTTCAGTCTCCAACTATCCAACAAACATCAGAAAACTTTACCTTTGTCTTGAATTCTGCTATACAGTAAGAAGAGAGCTTTGACTGTAGAGTCACCCAAGGTGAATATTGCAAAATTAATCATGACTCAATGGGTCAGCAACACACCACCACCCGCTTTTCTGTCACGTTAACATTTGACACAGGCAGATCATAATTCTGTCACAGAATCATAAAATTGCTTATGTTGGAAGGGACGTTAAAGATCATCAAGTACCAACCTCCTGCCATGGGCAAATTGCCATCTACCAGATCAGGCTGCCTAGGGCCGCATCCAAACTGTCCTTTAAGAGTGCCTCCAGAGATGGGGCATCTGATTAATGTTTATAAATACCTAAAGGGAGGTGGGAGGCAAATGGATGAGGCCAGGTTCTTCTCAGTGGTGTGTAGCAATAGAACGAGGAGTAATGGCCTAAAACTTGAACAAAGTTCTGTATTAACACGTGGAAGAACTTCTTTACGGAATGGGTAACAGAGTGCTGGAACAGGTTGACCAGATAGGTTGTAGAGCCTCCTTCTACAGAGATATTCAAGACCCGTCTGGATACCTAAATGTGTGACCTATTGCAGTGTATCTGCTTTAGCAAGGGGATTGGACTCTTGAGATCCCTTTCAACCCCTGTGATTCGGTGACCCACAGCTTCTCTGGACAGCCTGCTGTTGTGCCAAAGTTGGAGGAGAGAGGATTCAGGATAGAAGAGTTTAAATAGAACAGCTTGAAAAATTCCCGTCATACAGACTCACAGGCAACCCGAAGGAATAGCTAGAAAGCTGTATCACATAGCAGAAAAAGGATCAGCTAGACCTGTGCCTGGACTATCTAATGAAGAACAGCAGATTAAGGACAAACACACAACAACAACAACCACCACCAACTAACTCACTCGATGTACTCTTTCAGGCTTGCGTGGTGATTCTTACAACTAGAAACTCATTTCTTTCCAAAAAAATCACCACACACTGAGTTGTAGATGACCTTTTGCAATCACACAGTTGGTCTCTGTGTAGTTTGTAGTGGGGACACACACACACGTGCGTATCACATTGCTCTGGAACAACTGGAGCAAACTGGTGCTCTCTGGGCAGCTCAGGAGACATACCAAAGACTGAACAGGCACAAAGAACAAACTCTTGCCCCAACAACAATCAGTACAAGAGAAGAAAATCAAACTGGAAGGCCGAGAAGCAAAGCTGTGCTAGTTATCCCATAGCCTAGACAGACCCCAAGAC